TTCTCCGTTTTCAAGCAATCGATAAAAATCGATATCGCTATCATGTTTGTGATGTTGAAAGAAGAGGGTTCAGGGTATCCCCTAGTCGGGAGCTCCCGACTAGAACCTCTTACTTGTTTATATTGTAAAATAAAAAATGTCGTGTGTTGTCGATCCCTGAACCCAAAATGGTTCACAAATTGCGCTGACAGCATTTCGTTTGCTTCAAGTGAGGCTATGTGTGTGTGTGTGTGTGTGAGTGCGTATATGGGAGGTTATGAGGTGTCTCTAAATTGGTCGAAATTATATTAATATATTATTAACTCACATTTCAATTAGTGTTATATTTGTCGAAAAGAAATATAAAGAAAGTTTAACTGGAAGGAATAAGGCGAGAGGCGCTTGTTAACTTCTCGCTGAACCTCGCTACTCGCTCCGTTGTGCCTAGTTCAAACACGATCAAATTTATGTGTTTACAGAGTACACATCGATTGATGTTAATTGAAAACTCTGCTGTTCTCAAATTCAATCAGTCAAGTAACAAAGATTTAATAAGCGAAATTAAAATATAATCTCGAACTGAGATTCAAGCTTAAATACGCATAAAAACTGTGTCAATTAGCCAAAAGGAGGAATGCAATGAAATGCGGCGCAAAGAACATTTTGTAGCACACTTGAAACTTGAAAAGGAAATGGAAATGGCAATGGAAATCGCATTTGTATTTGTAGTTGTAGCTGTATTCAAGTTGGAGTTGTTTTCATGGCAGTCGTGCTCTCCCTGTGCCATAATTATAAATCAACTAGCAGTTGGGCAAACTCCATCTGCTGCTACTCGGGCAACAACAACGACAACCAATCCACTCAGGCAAATAGTGGAAAACAACATTAAGAGACTCCAAAGTTGTTTGTTGTTGTTGTTATGCGACGACCCACTTGCAACAAGTAAACGCGGGTAGCAAATGCTAAGGGTTGCAGTGGGCGTGGCAGGCTGCGGGCATTTGACTCACTTTCCCTCGACACAGCATGGTGGCGTGTGGGCGGGTGGAGTTCCCCTGTGTATGACATCAGCTATAATTTCCATTACGAGTCGAGCGACTCGCTCAAAATTGTACACCTGGGAGCTTATTAAGTCGGGACCTGGGCAAATGTAATGTAATGCACAAATGAAATGAAATAAAAAATATAGAAAGAAAGAATGTCCAGCCCAGGGGCAGGTAGCAGGAGGGGTTCGCTCACAAATTACAAGGGCATGCAAAGCAAAAGCCACGCAAACGAGCAGCGAGAAACTTGTTGATACTTCTCTGGCCAGAGTTGACAGCACTTTCAGTGCGCAAAAGCTAACTAACCAAACAGGGACACGCTACAGCTATATTAATATAAATCAACTACTGAATAATGAAGTATCGCTGTTTTATGCTACAGTGCTGGCCATGTAATTAGGAATTGTCCTCAATAAAAAGGATCCTAAATATTTATATATATTTATATATTAACTTTATATAATATACAAAATTAGTTTTAACATTATGCTGGGCTTTATGAAAACAGAAGTATGCCTAATTATAATTATATGGCCGACACTGTATGGTTTTAGTAATATATAGGCCACGCAACCCAATATAGTTGATGCGATTTGTGATGTGTTTATGCATTGTAAATTACGCACGGGACGACCATTTGCACAAATCACAAGAGCAAAAGAGAGAAAAAGAGAAAGAAACAAAAAAAAAGGGGAGGGGGGGGGGGGGGGGGGTAGAGCATTAGAGGGTTGAGAGGAAAGAACTGTAGAGAGTGCTGCTCATAATCAGAGATTGTGTAACTGGTCACAGAGTGCTGCCAGCTTGCGTAACTTGGCAAACCTAGAATCAAAAACAACTCCACTGAAATTTTATAATAATTTTTCTTGATTTTTGCTTGTAAATATCTTCCTCTTCGCCTTTTTATGCCCTGAACCCATTAAAAATGGGTATAAGGGTATATTGTATCTGTGCAAAATCCAAATATATTTAAAAGGCAGAAGGAAGCATCTCCGACCCCATAAAGTATATATATTCTTGATCGGCACTAATAGCCGAGTCGATCCATGTCCGTCTGTCTGTCTGTTCGTCCTTCCGTTCGTCTGTCCGTCTGTCTGTATGTATGTATGAACGCAAGGACCTCAGAACCTATAAGAGCTAGAGACTTGAAATGTAGGTGCTCCTAGTGCCTGCGCAGATCGAGTTTGTTTCCGATAATCAATAACTTACTCCGTTTCCAGGCAATCGATAAAAATCGATATCGATATCCTGTTTTTTGGGCAATTTTGGTAAATAATAAGAGCTAGAGTCACCAAACTTGACATTTAGCTTATAAAATAGAATATATATATGCATTTGATGTTGGAAAAACATCAGGGTATCCCCTAGTCGGGAGCTCCCAACTAGAACCTCTTACTTGTTTCCTTTTGTTGTGTATTTGCAATTTCGCTTTTAATAACGGCGTCAAAGTTCTGGTGTGTGCGGATGGGGGAGGGTAGGTGATGGGGCAAGGTTCAGATTTCAGCGTTTATTTGCTGGCTGATTATTATTTTATGTCTGGAAGGAGAGTTTCGCATCACGCGCCTCAAAGTATGCAGCATGATATTTGCCTTTTTATCGCTGCGTGCTCAAGTGTGCGTGTGTGTCTGTATGTTCGCATGTTGCGATTGTGTGCCTGTGTATTATTATTTCAGTTTCGTTTCTGTTTTCATTCTGCGACTGCCACTGCGCCATTCATCAATAATTCACATCGATTCCTCGTTTCTCCCGCTTCTGATTGCTCATTTCGCTGCTCCCCACAGCAGCTGCTCTTCACTTCTGTTGCCTCAAACAAATTGTTGCTTAACTCTGTGTACTTTTGTTTTACTTCAATACTCGCAATTGACAGAGAACTCCCCAATGGAAGATGCTAAAATAAAAAATGGCACTTTGTGAGGTTATGGCCACATCAAAATGTAGTCGCAATGCCAAACGGCCAAACGTTAAAATTGAGCTTATGAATTTTTAAACCAAATTAGTTTTACACATCTCCTGTTCCGAGTCCCTTGAATGCCTAAGTTCAACCAGCTCTTGGCCTGCTAAAGCTTAACTGCTTCTTCTTTGATTTGAAGTACAGTCAGCGCTTTGGAGCTATTTAAAGCGCTTTACCAACACTGTTTTTTTGCATAAAGCGTTTCGATGGTTTTTCGTTTTGAAGTGCCGTCTGCAATTGGGCATGTTAGCTTGTCAAGTGGCTTTTCATTAGTTGTAACTGCTGTGCGGCTGCCCCAATTTTAAATTTCGCCACTTAAAGCAACTGAAAACCACGCTGTAAATCACACACATACAGGCACACACTCACACAAGTACCACACTTTTTTCCACCTTTTACGCACAGCTATTTCTATGCCTCTTTTCGAGCTACGAGAGTCTTGTTGGCAATGATATGACAACACTGCAGCAGACATTGAAGGATAAAAAAACTGAAAAAAAGAGAAAAGCATTCACTCATGCGTTGCCATATGTTGTTGTTTTTTTGCCCAACTTTTCCTGCATACTCGGCATATAAAGGTATTCTGTTTTTCCTGCTTCCCCAGTGTGAGCTGCGAGTGGATATCACATGCTGATTTGATTGGGTTTGATTTAATTTTCCAATTGAGAACACTCGATCATGTTTTCACTGCTAGAACAACACGAACTGCGGCTGCCTCGCAACGGCTTGGTTTTTAAAGGACCTGGTAGACATATATAAAAGAAAATGCAATATGACACGACTGTTGCGTCGTCTTATTATGCGACACAGATTCGCCTGGAAAATAAACCAGACCAGACCCAATCGGCATTCGGGGACTCTGTGTGTGGGTGAAAACAGCATTTGAAAAGATTACATGACTCGCAGCACAAGGACAACTGAAAGAAGATACAACTCGAGTCTTTAAGTTGTCATGAGAAGTCGGAAAATGCGAGATATTTTTCATACTTTTATTGAAGTTTGCCGGACAGTGACGAAGGAAATTTAATTTTAGTAAATGAAATAGTTTTAGTAGTGAAGCAATTGATACTCAGGGGAACTCAAACATAAACTAAGCCAAATAACTCGTATATGTAGATCAGACGCTCGATTTATAACTTTGAAAGTTAATCAAATGAAACTAGGCTAAAAAACAGCTTAAAGATACCTTAAATCTAATTTTAAATTATTTGCAGATGGTGCACATTTAATACAGAAAGTAATTATTGCAATTGTTTACACTGATTAAATATCTAGTTTTATTATATATCACATTTTTATACCCTGAACCCATTAAAAATGTGTATAAGGGTATATTGTATTTGTGCAAAATCCAAATGTATGTAACAGGCAGAAGGAAGCATCTCCGACCCCATAAAGTATATATATTCTTGATCGGCACCAATAGCCGAGTCGATCCATGTCCGTCTGTCTGTCTGTCCGTCCTTCCGTCCGTCTGTCCGTCTGTCTGTCTGTATGTATAAACGCAAGGATCTCAGAACCTATAAGAGCTAGAGACTTGAAATGATGTAGGTGCTCCTAGCTCCCGCGCAGATCGAGTTTGTTTCCGATAATCGATAACTTACTCCGTTTCCAAGCAATCGATAAAAATTGATATCGATATCCTGTTTTTTGGGCAATTTTGGTAAATAAAAAGAGCTAGAGTCACCAAACTTGACATTTAGCTTCTAAAATAGACATATATATGCATTTGATGTTGGAAGAAGAGGGTTCAGGGTATCCCCTAGTCGGGAGGTCCCGACTAGAACCTCTTGTTTATTATATATAAAATACATTTGGAATCGAAAATGTGTTCCTTAACATTGTTTACACTGATAAAATATATATTTTTATTACATACATATATAAATTTGGAATCGAAGATGTCTTTCTTAACATTTCTTAGCACTTACAGCACTAGCCCGATTAAATGAATATCTCTTATAAAAGTCTAGAATGATTAACTAATTATATCAATCTCTCTCACTATATCCCGCTCTTTTTCTCGTTTGCAGCAACTTTTTCGCTCACAGAATCCGGGTCTAGCGGCTGCGGCCGCTGCTGCCACATCGGCAGCAAGTGCAGCGGCCGCAGCCGGCGGAGCACCACCTGGCGCACCCAATGGCTCCATGCAGGCCTCGCAGCAACAGCAACAGATGCAAATGGCGGCTGCGTCGCAACAGTTTTTGGCCGCCCAACAGGCGCAACAGAATGCGGCATATGCAGCACAGCAGGCGGCCCCGTATGTCATCAATCCCGGACAGGAGGCGACGCCGTATCTGAGCATGATTTCTGCCGCACAAATGGCCCCGTATTATGGCGTTGCTGCACCGTGGGGCATGTATCCGAATCTGATACCACAGCAGGGCACACAGCCCCGCCGCCCCCTGACGCCCTCGCAGCAGGGCGCCGAGAATCAGCCGTATCAGGTGAGCCACACAATTCAGGGCAGGGGCTTAAACGCAGACATCAATTGTACATATATATGTGGGAGGGGGGAAATTGTAAAATTCCGTGTAAATTGTTTTAACACATTTATCGCATTTTACGTTCAATATATATATATATATATATATATATATATATATATATATATATACATTTACATTTACATATATATATATTTATATATTTGTATAGTTAACCTACGACTTTACCTAAAACGTTGTATTTTTCTCTCTTCTTTTCTTTTTAAACATCAAAAACAAATGCTTCATAACCTCAAAATACAAAAACCAAAAAAATCAAATGCTAACCCTGTAAAAAAAAACTGTATAAAAATCGAAATCGTTGAACTCCTCAAGGTCATACCGGCCTTCTTCGATCAGAGCGGCTCGCTTGTGATGGGACCACGCACCGGCACGCCTATGCGTCTGGTCAGCCCCGCCCCCGTACTGGCGGTGCCACCGGGCGCAGCACGTGCCGGTCCGCCGCCGCCCCAGGGGCCACAAATGTATCAACCACAGCCGCAAACGGCCCAACAGAATCTCTACTCACAGCAGAACGGTTCCAGTGTCGGAGGTAAGCCATAATCCATCCAAATCAGATCCAAATCCAACTCACAGAAACCCCATTTGTAAATGTTATGTATATATAAGTTTAAACAGATATGTTTATCTAGACATTAACCCACACTGGTCTCAGGCCATTTAACTATCTAATTTGCGATAACATAAGCCACAGCTCGCAGAGTTCATTAGATATACATATAAAGAAAATACCAACCCATCCAATATACTATATTTTATCTATATGTATATAGCAATTATAACGGAACGTTGAGCTAGACTTTCACTTGACGCATTTCTGGCTTGGGGCGCTATTCAGGCCCCTTCTCCTCCTCGTCTACAACTTGTCAGCATATTATTCATGCCATAACAATATAATGCAATTTATAATTTCCAATTTCATTTCTATTATTTTGCGTGTCTACGTGTGCGCTACACATGTTATTGTGAGGCATATTAGTTGTGTGGCAAGAGAAATGATAAAAATAGAGATTACAACTGGCGAAAAAAGGGTTAAGGATATAGAGGAAACTCTTTCGATTATCTAGCTTACATATTGTAAAGGGTTTTGGGATAAATCTCAAGAAACGGCACAGAGGCGTGAGCTTTTAAGGGCACTTTTCAAAACTGTAAAAAAATAAAAAAAAATAGTACAGAAGAATTATATCATACAAATAATATAAATCATTTTATAGTTAAATATTATATATTGATGCTATTAAATCGAAGGATTCCGGTTCGAATCTCGGACTAATCCATTAAAATTAATTGATAATTATTTATTAATACTTTAATGTAGACTCGGCCTGACTATTTTTATTACCTTTCACTTATCATAAGCCGTACTGTACGTATTTAACTGTATTTACTGATCGGCATGCCCACAAGCTTTAGTAGCGCCTGCTTTACAGGGCATGAAGAACAGGCCAAATTAGCGAAACGCCAACTGTTTTTGTCAGTAGATTTTCTTGGTTTTCATAAATATCTAATGCTCACTAAAAAAAAAAGAGGAGGCAAAAACAATAACAGAAAAAGAAAACAGACTGAAAGCAATTGCATGCAAGCACGCAAAATGTTAATATTGCACAAATGCTGCAACAACAAAAACAACAAGTGGAGCTGCAACAACGTGTGTGTTATCCTTGCCATGCAACTAACTCTGTCAGCCCTCAACTGAATCATGCAATATAAGAGTGTGTACAGTGTGTGTGGGTGAGTGTGCTTGACTTGACTGTAAAGCGCCAAAAAAGAAAATTTTCACTTTACAAATTATACAAAACATTCGTTTATGCGTGCGAATATTGTGTTCAGGCTGATTGCGCAATTAAACAAATCCCATTTTGCATATTATTATCGTTTATCGATATCGTTTATCGATATCCCTCCCTCTCTCTCTCTGCTGACGTTCTATAAAAGCTAGTCAAGCTAGTCTAGCAAGGGTGCAGGGTATCACCCCAGTCAAGCACTTTCAACTAGAGCGCAATCTTTGCTTTTTTTTGGAAGCAACTTTGTTTATGTATTTCGAATTCATGTAATCTAACAGCGCATAAACTCAACACTCTTGCATGCGTGTGTGTGTGTCAGAATTCATGTCCGTGTGTGCAAGTGTTGAGTGGATTTTCCGTTTAGTTTTTGTGCTCAAAAATAACATTTGCAATATGAGCTAAAGGAATTGGGTCTGTTTTTGTTGGGCGGGCGGGGGAGTGGCTTGGTAACCAGAAGCTTGAAACTTGGCAACGCAAAATGTTGACGGCCTCTGCAAAAAGCTGTATTTGTATTTGTTGTTGTTTTTGTTGTTGCTGCTGCTGTTGCTGGCAATTGTTGTAAATTTATAGAATTTCAAATTATAATTAATAACGGCAGCCAGGAAATGAAAGTTTGCACTTTCGCAGGAGTTTACTTGCATAGCATTTTGTACATAGACACCCGTTACCCCCCATCCACCAACCCTTCTGCGTTTAAACAAACCATTTTGTGACTGTCTGCAGGCGCTGCCACAAATTCGTCCCGTCTCTCCCCATTTATTTTTATACAAAAGCTACTGAAAATGTTGCTCGGCGGAGGCAATGAAAAGTTATAATTTTCCAGCTGTAAAATAATTTTTTTCAGTCGGATAATGTTACCCGGCATTGTGGCGCCCACAAATTCATCTCGACGATATTTTTGTTGCAAAAATTGTGAGAGTTGCGGCATTAAATCGTTTATTGAATTATTGGCTACGAGCGAAGCGAGCGCATTACGAGTCGAAGGAGAAATCAATTAGACCACGCGGAATGGTGCTTAATGAACTGGCGAAAATTAAAACTCCATTTTGAATTTCAATTTTCGTTTCCCAATTCCCTGTTTTCCGCAAACACATTTTCGACATTTTCCACCGTTAATTTACTTAACCGGTTAATGGCTCAACTTTCGCATTATTTCGTTGATTAATTTTCCTTCATGCAGGACGTTAAATGAAAATTTTTCCTCATTTTTCTCGAAATGTTCTTTTACTTTTGTGTTTTCGTGATTCGCTGACGCATCTCCCCTTAACGTATGACTACAATTCTCACTTATTATGCATGCGATATACCCTGTAATGTGCAGGCAAGTGAGCATTATAATTTTTATCACCAAGTATGTGCATATAAACTTGATAGAGATGAATAAGCAAGTCGATAGGCAATCTTAGCTCTCAGTTTGGATGCAGTTTGAAATATATCAGACATTTTGGAATTCGATCAGATATTTAGGTACGTTCTTTATTTTACTCACAACATTTAATCATAATCTTAACGAACCTTCTTTTTGTCGCTCCTGTCTCTATTATTTGGTCTCTGTTTCTCTTAGTGCCTCCTCTAAACCTTGCCTTGCAGCTACGTAAATCTCTTCCATATACATACTCGAAAATAACCTGCGATCAAATATAACAATTGTAAATTTAGTGTGGTGTTTGACCCAGAAACTTCCCTTGCTAGTTCAACGCTCAGACATTTAAGACACGCAGGCGTTTGATACAAATTTTGTTGATGGTTTTCATATCAACTTTGACGCCCGTTTATCAACTATTCCATGACTTCTTCTTATTGCTCAGTTTCTGATCAGCGGCGTAGCTTCTGCTTAAGCTTCAGCTTCCCAGTATTCATATTTTGGGCTTCGCGTTGAACACCGTTCAGTCGAGACTAAATTTTTACCAATATGTTTAGCTGATCTGCATGCTTTATTATTTATAATACTCTGCTGAATTGCATTTACTTTAACTAATGCTTGTCTATCGTCTACCCAATTGTGTTTGGAGCGTGTCGCTTACATAGCAACGTTACGCATACACCATGTTGTACACGTCATTGGGAATTTCATTAAGCGCAAAGTGCAGCACTTGCCTAGTCTACCACCTCTCTCTCTTTCTCCCTCCCTCTCGAACTGCCACATACAGTAGCTGTTCGCCTTTGCGGCAAGTGTCAAACAAGTTGCTGCTGTTGCTGCTGCTGCTGCTGCTGCTGCTGCTGCATGTGGCAGAAAATCATTCACAAGCTGCTATTGCTGTCTTGCTTCCTCGCTCCCTCCTCCTCGACCACCCGCGCTCCACGCAATTCCAGATGGTGCTGCAGCTCGTCTGTGGCCCAACAGCAATTGACATTTTACAAAATAAACGAATTCATTTGCACAAAAGCCAGCAGCAGGCAGGATAACAATAACAACAACACCAGCTGCAACAATGTGCGTCCTATGCAACACAGGAGAGTGGGTAAAAGAGAGGGATGGAGAGGAGGGGAGAACGGAAGGAGCATGCAAGCGAGAGTTTACATAAAGTGGTTTTGGCATTGGCTTTATCTCTTTTGTTGTTGCTGTTGTTGCTGTTGTTGCTGTTGCTGTTGTTGCTGTTGCTGTTGTTGTTGTTGTTCTTGTTGTTGTTGTTGTTGCTGTTGTTGTTGTTGCTTTCACTTTCCCCCAAATGCAATCACATGTTGCCAACATGTGAAAGGTGTACATAATAATTTGTGGACATGGCCAGGATGCCAGGCAAATGGAAAGAGGCAAAGGCGAACCCAAAGTCAGCCCGGGAAAACCCTTCCGACAACTCCCTCCTCATTGTTGCAAGGCACGGCCAAATGGTTTGGCGGTTGCAAAGTCAAGCTCCTCTCCCGTCACCTCCCTCTCATATGTGTGGGCGCATTAACGTTTGTAATTGCAGCTTTTCTGGGCTCCGGCTCAAAAGGATGACTGCCGAGCTGGGCAAAGGGGTTGAATTGGGCGGAGAGCCGCTGCGCAGCCACTTAAAACAATATAATCTCCATTAAAAAGCTTTTTGACATTGCACGCAGGCCAGGAGTCGAGGCAGCAGAACGAGGCTTTGGGCTTTAAGGCTGTGGGGGAGGGTGGCTTGTGGTAGGGGGCGAATGCCAAGCCCATGCCCGTGCCTGTGACTCGTGACTTGGCTTACAATTGTTGGCGCATCGATTGCAGCACTACGCTAATGAGTGGAGGATATGTGCGGGGTACAAGGCGGAGAGCGGGGGGCGTATGGTTACCCAGTAAACGGGCCTGCCATTTCTTAAGAGGATGCTGCGGGGAGAGGGAGAAGGAGGCTATGAAATTGACAAGCGAGTAGTCACTTGCCTTAGTGCTAATTGCAATTGAGTTGTGCTGCAGCATGTGTGTGCAAGAGTGTGTGTGCTGTTTGCTGTGTGTGTGTGCTGTGTAAGCAGCGGATCGAGACACACGCTGAGCTACAATTCGCAATCAGCTGGGTCTGGGCTGGAATTGGACTACTTGGGATCCAATGCATGTCAAGACGAGCGCAATGACAAATGCACTTAATTGATTTTTGACTGATTGTCAGGCGCCACAGAATTGTACGCAGTAGGAGGGCGTCGGGGGCGGCCAGAAAAGGAGGTGTGACGCTCGTGTGCACTTAAGTCGGTTAAACTTAGCCGAGGCTAAAAGCTGAAAATGTAAAAGAGAAATAGATGTGAAAAATACGTATAAGAGATAACAAAGCAGCAATTATTTATTGAACTAGCCGATGATTCGAACCAGCAAATTTTCTTTTACTCGTTTGAATATGCAATTAAGTCACTTAAACTTAGCCAAGGATATGTGAAAATTCAAAATGTGATAGAGCCGGCGATGCGAGCCAGCAACTTTCCTTCTGCTCGTTTGAAAATGCGCTTAAGTCAGTTAAACTTATCCGAGGATAAAAGATGAAATTGTGAAAAAGATATAGCTAGATATAGATATATAGGCGACAGAAAAACAGCAATTATTTATTGCACTAGCCGACGATTTAAACCAGCAACTTTCCTTCTGCTCGTTTGAATATGCAATAATAGAGTACAAATAGATGACCAAAAGTCAGCTGAAAATAGATCGAATTGAGGACTTCTGTTGCAATATGTGAGCTTTACATGTCTTAGAGCGGACATATATGTTCGCTTAGGCATATATATTAATAGATATGCAGCTATGCTGTATGCTGGACTTGAGAGAAGGTGTTCCGTAGAGTACCCTCTTTTTTCCATTGATCTAGGGACACAATGATGTCGTTCGAGCAGCTGTCAAACTGTTGTAAATTGTTGCAATTTTTATGCGCTCTTTTCCAATACTAATTATATTTTTGTATAGCTCGCGCTCAACACTGTTTTGTGTCTTTTTTTCATAGCCTACTTCAGGACGTTTACAACCTCAGCCAGCTCCTTAGTCGTCCGCACTTGCAATAGTTTCCGGGCATTTAAATAACTCAAGACATTTTATTTAATGCGTTTTCTTTTTTTTAGTGCCTGTATCTGTGAGGACGTGTGCCGAACACGTGTGTGCATTTATAATTCATAAAATGATTACATTAGGCTGAGCAGCGGCATCTGGTGGATGTAGTCGTGTCTGTGAGGTGGCATTTGTCTCTGCTCACATGTGGAACGTGTGCATAAACCACAAAATGTCGCCTGCAATAAACGGGGCCGTCTTTTTAATGCCCCCAACACATGTGTGTGTGTGGGGGCGTGTGTATGTGAGTGTGTTGTGTGTGGCATGCTGCAGTTTCATTTGACAAAGTGTGCTTGCAAAGGCAACCCACCAGAGGGATAGACAGATGGGGTGTATGTAAGTGTGGGAGTGGGGAAGGCAGCGAGCCGTGTCAGACATAGCCCGAAGCATTAGAAGCTGGGACTGTGGTCGAAGGGGGGGCGACTGTGGAAGATAGGTAGTTGCCGCTCTTAATTATTACGACTGTTTTCGACTGCCGATACTCGACTTGCCTGTCTCTGCCTCTCCCATCGCACTCTCTCTGCATGCAAATTGCATGAATAATTCCCTTTTAAATTGTTGCAACTGCCACGCAGCACACCGAATGCTGTGCAGGGGGAGGCGTGGCAGGGGCAAAGCAAATAAAATAAACAGAGACTGGCAAACATCCAAACCCGAAGAGGTGTTCACTCCAGCATCCACCCCTTGCCTAGTTCAGACTCTTTTGCTGGCCGCCCACTCGACACTTTCATTGACGCAAATTGTTTGTACAACATAATCCATTCCAACCCGCCTTTTAACCAACACCCCTTCCCAGTATGCTGCCTAGGCATGTTCATTGCCTGCATTTGAATTGGAATTTAGCAGTCGCGTCTCTGAAGTGCGCCAAATTAGTTGCAATTTAAATGCAGAAATTAAAAGTTTGTGCCAGACAAGTCGGCGGTTCGCTCAAATGTTAATGTCATTTATTAAGCATAGTATTTTACAACACTGGCTGCATGACAACACTATGGAATTTACATTTCCTTCACTCGCTTCTTGTTGTTGCAATTAGAATTTTGTATTGAAATGCAGAGAAGCACAAAGAGAAAACGCGAAAGAGAGAAAACATTTAAGAAGTTTTAATTAAATGTTCGAGCTATAATAGTATTCAAGGATTACTATTGCAATTTTACAACGTTGTATAAAATTGATTACAAATTCAATTACAAATTCATTGTCAATTGTCATTCAAAACAATTTTGTGTAAATTCATTTCGAGCTTTTGGTAAATTATTTCAAGATTTAATTAGACAATTACAACACAGCTTACTTATATTTTACAACACTACATTAAACTGACAGCATTTTCATCTTTACTCAAATAAAACCTTTGCTTTAATGAGCACAACTTACAACACTTTATAGCACTTAATTCACGTCTACGACCTTCTCCAACACTGAATTAGCTGTGATATACTGTTAAACAAACATAATTATATTTCTAGCTTCTAATATCTCTTTATTGCGCAAGTTCTTAAACTTAAGCAGTTTTCACGCCATTTTAGATATAATCTTTGTAATTCTCTAGCGCTTCATTTAGACTGCGAAACTTGCGAAACTTTTATAAACTAATATATATATATATATATATTATTTAATTATATATATATATATATATATATATATATACGTATATATATACGTATGCCTTTTATTAGGAGGTGGCAATCGCTGCCGTTTGCTATTTTTATGGAACTTTTGAAGCCTACGCCAAGGGAAAATTATAGAAATTTGCGCAATTTATTTTCGCATTTGCCGCCTGGCAAAGTTGCGTGTTGCATGGCTTGCCGCAACCATTTACTGCTGCAGACTTTTTGGGGCATGTGCAACAGACGACAGGCAATAAATTCATTAGGACGCAAAGTTGCCTGCGCCGCGGCTCAAGTTGTAAGTTGTCGGTTGTAAACGGGATTGCATTCTGGCAGGCGCAAAACTTTCACTTTTTTCACTTCACTCAGCCTATAAATTCTGCCCCTGGGCATTCCCTTTAGCTCTACGCCTCTGCTCTGCAAATCAATGCCAGTGACATATTACAGCATCCATCAAGTCGGCAGCACGGCAAGTCCCACTGCCACCCTCTACTCTTGCTTCTGTTTTTATATGAGCTTAAAGCGTCCGCCCTGCGTCTCTCTCCCTCTTTCTCTCAGTATCCTTTTACATATTCCTAGAGCTTTGCTATGTGACTCTTGGAGCGCATATGTGCTTCCTTAATGGTTGACATTACGAGTATTACACTTACTCCCCGCTAGTTAAATATGTAAGTGGGCAGCTCTATCTCTATCTCTATCTCCCTCTTTCTCTTCCTCTGTCTCGTTACTGAGCCGCATTAAACTGAAACTAAGAGGCCACAGCTGCGCCCTAAAAGTAGGCAATTAAGTTTACGAGCGCCCTACACTAGCCCGTTCCTGAACGCTGAACGCCGTAACTCGATTAATTAAAATAGCGCATACTCTGCCATAAGTTGTTCGCTCTCTCTCTCTCTCTCTCTCTCTATCTCTCTCTCTCTCTCTCTCTCTCTCTCTCTCTCTCTTTCTCTCTCTTTCTCACTCTTTCTATTTCTCTGTGGAATGCATGTCTCTGCCGCTTTCCCGTGACCCACTTAGATTTGCTCAGCTAGTAAATTGAGACTTCGAATGGACAAGCTGTTGGATATATGCTTCGGCTTTGCTGCCATCCATTGCAATTACCTTTTTTAGTGGTTGTTTAATATGGGAACAGCATAGTAATAGTTTAGCTGTTGGTGGGGGCTTAACATTTTACAACACTGAAATATATCTGGGTGACCATTTCACATATTATAAATGAACAGCGAAAATCCATTTTGTATAGAGTATAATTTGATTTCTGCTTTCGGTTCAGAGTTAAGCTCAAATATATAAATTCCAAGCTTGAACCTAATTTTATAGGCTTAATACTGAGATCCCCTCTTCTCTCCTCTTTGTATCACTTTGTCTTTATCTATCCGCTTTACATATTCTACACAGTATTTAAGTCTCTCTCTCTCTTTTGCTTCTCTCCTAAACAGGCCTAGCATTGAACACAAACTCGCTGAGCGGTCGTCGTGACTCGTTCGATCGCAGCACATCCGCCTTCAGCCCCTCGGCCATGGACTACACCACAAGCAGCGTCGCCGCCGCCGCGAATGCGGTTAACAGCAGCGTGGCCCAGGCCGCTGCAGCAGCAGCTGCGGCCGCAGCACGCGCTAAGTGGCCCGGCGCCATGTCCAATGCGAGCGCGTATGGAGCTCTGGGCGCGGCGGCGGTAAATGCCTCGGCCAGTCCGTTGGGCGCACCGCTGACACCGCCGCCGACGGCTCAGTCGTGCCTGATGGGCGGCAATCGGGCGCCCGGCGCCGAGTCGCGCCAGCGGCAGCAGCTGGCGGTGGGTCTGCCGGCGGCTACGGCGGCAGCGGCCGTTGCGGCCGCGGCCAACAATATGTTTGGCTCGAACAGTTCGCTATTCTCGAATCACCTGGCCCTGCCGGGCAGCACGCCCGCGGCCGTGGCCGCTGCCGTGGCGAATTCGCGGCAGGCGGCCGCCGCAGCTGCTGTGGCAGCGGCCGCTGCCGGTGCAGCCGGTGCACCACAGCCGGGCAGATCGCGACTGCTGGAGGATTTTAGGAATCAGCGCTATCCGAACTTGCAGCTGCGCGATCTGACCAATCACATTGTCGAGTTCTCGCAGGATCAGCACGGCTCGCGGTTCATCCAACAGAAACTGGAACGGGCCACAGCCGCCGAGAAGCAGATGGTCTTCAATGAGATACTGGGCGCCGCCTACAGCCTGATGACGGACGTCTTTGGCAACTATGTCATACAGAAGTTCTTTGAGTTCGGCACTCCGGAGCAAAAGAACACTCTGGGCATGCAGGTCAAGGGTCATGTGCTGCAGCTGGCGCTCCAGATGTACGGCTGTCGCGTGATCCAGAAGGCGCTCGAGAGCATCTCTCCCGAGCAGCAGCAGGAGATCGTTCACGAGCTGGACGGACATGTTTTGAAGTGTGTCAAGGACCAGAATGGCAACCATGTCGTACAGAAGTGCATCGAATGCGTCGATCCCGTGGCCCTGCAGTTTGTCATCAATGCGTTCAAGGGTCAGGTCTATTCACTGAGCACACATCCCTACGGCTGCCGGGTCATTCAACGCATCCTCGAGCACTGCACTGCCGAACAGACCCAGCCCATTTTGGATGAACTGCACGAGCATACCGAGAACTTAATCCAAGATCAATATGGCAACTACGTCATACAACATGTTCTAGGTAAGTTCAGTGAAGTCAAAACAATTTCGAGATGACATATTTGTAAATTATTTATTTATATAATAACAATTTTGATAGAGAAAGAATTAGAGAATTAAAGATCCAACGGAAATATGCTCCGTTTCTGATACTCGAACAATTATTCCGTTCGAGCTAGTTGAGACGCAAATGTGTTCGGTTCGAACCGTTCGATATGCAGTCGCAAATGGAACATGTTGCTCACTTCGTTTGTATTAATATTTTCGACTCATAGGACAGCATATTAAATTGCAAAAGGAAAAAACTAAGAGAGAAGTGTTTTAGAGATCAAATCGTAAACAATATAATATTTTGGCTGATAAATATTTAAGATAGGTCCATGTTATATAGGTCTGCATTCCTTGGATTAGCTTTAAATGTAGATGGTTTTAATGATCCCTATTCTCATGTCTATTGTAGAGCACGGCAAACAGGAGGACAAATCGATACTGATTAACAGTGTGCGCGGCAAGGTGCTCGTGTTATCGCAGCACAAGTTCGCCTCGAATGTGGTGGAGAAGTGTGTGACACATGCCACGCGCGGCGAGCGCACCGGCCTCATCGATGAGGTGTGCACATTCAATGACAAGTAAGTATCCGAAACAGAATCAATATTTATATATTTCGATCAATTGGAATGCCTACACTTTTTCTGCAGTGCCTTGCACGTCATGATGAAGGACCAGTATGCCAACTATGTGGTGCAGAAGATGATTGACGTCTCGGAGCCGACGCAGCTGAAGAAGCTGATGACCAAGATACGACCCCACATGGCCGCCTTGCGCAAATACACCTACGGCAAGCACATTAACGCCAAGCTGGAGAAATACTACATGAAGATAACCAATCCCATAGCCGCTGCCACGGCCAGCGCTGCCAGCACAGCAGCCACAAGCACAGCAAACAGCGGCGCTGCAGCCGGAACCGGATCGAGTGGTGCGCCCTCATCCTCCACGTCGATGGTGGCCGCCGCCGGCGCAGCAGTTGCCACAACCAACACCACGAACAGCATTGGATCGCCCAGCATTTGTGCCGTGCAGGAGAATGGCGGCATCTCGATGGCCGAGCCCACATCGCCAGCCAGCTCGGAGTCGTCCGGTACTGTGGTGGTCGGCGGTCTTGGACCCATCGGGCCGCCCACAACAGCTAATGGAGTGTTGTAAAGTGGCGAATTGAGAGGCGCGTTATCGAATTTTAGTTTTTAGTATTTGGATGAAGGAGAAGGAATGCGAGGAGAGCATTAAAAGCAAAGCGAATGCTTACTATAAATATTATAAAAAAAATAAATATACATAATAATATTAAATACTAATAATAATACAAATAAATCTAATGTAATTTATTTATAACAAGATCTGAACTGCAGACACAGAAGAAAACAAAAATGATTTAAATTCAGCCCTAGAACGGCTCTCGGTAATCGACTCCAACTTGTGGAGCAATCGATAAATTGTATATTCAATTGTAACAAAAAACAAAATAAGATCGTTGAACGCTTTTGTAAAGTGCGTAATACTAACACACACACAAGCATACACTGAGAGAAACACAAACTCGATAAAAGCAACAAGTGCGCGAATAATTCTGCGCAATCCACTTTTTTTTTATTTGTAAATGTTGCGTCACAGAAAATATGTGAAAAGAAAAGCTATCGAAAAAAAAAATCAAGCTAAGAAAATGGAAAAACAAAAGAAAATCATGTCTGCATACATATTCGATGTAACAACTTTTCAAGAAACAAAAGATAAGAGAAAAACAAAATAATTTGTAAATGTTTAAGCAAGTCGACTGTAAATTTGATTATTTAAACAAAAGCGCGTGACGTTCCGTTGCGAAACACAACAGATTAAAGAAGAAGAAGAAGAAAAAAGTAAGCATAGAATTTAACTGCAACCATTTCAAACATACATATATATATATGAATAGTATAAAATATATACAATAAAACATAATGAACAACTTAAATGTAGCATGTAGGCTAAAGAGCAAACAAATTCAATATGTGTAAAGAACTTCGTTATATAAAAGCCAGCAGCACACACACACACACCAACACACTCACGCACACCAACACACACACACACACACCAACACACTCAAGCAAACCAACACACACACACACAAATTTGAACTCTTTAGCGTTGCGTTTTGCAACAATTTCACGTTGCTTTTGGGCTATGTAAAATTTTGTACAAAAAAAACAAACAACAAAAAAAAAAAATAAGGAAAACTAAAACCATGTAAAACAATGTAATAATTATTAAATTAATTTTTTTTGTCAATTTGTTCACTTGTAAAATTCAAAACTGTTTTGTAAAATTCTCATTAATTTTAATCGAACATTTGTTTGTAAATTGCTTGTAACAAAAACAAAATATTGTTAAAGAAAACACACACACACGCATACCCAAATTCAAAGACACACAGTCACATACATATACATATATATATATATACATATAAAGAAAATACGCATGCATTGTATCAATTAAAGCATGCACTATACATATGTCTATATACATACTATATATATATATATACATTCATATTTGTATTTTGTAAATTGTTTCGTTTTAAGCGCCCCCACACACACACAACACATATACACGCATTGTATTTATATATATAGAATTGTAGAAACGATCTTCTTCGGGCCGTCGAAACGAACTCTTTTTCTGTTTAGCGACTAAGATTTAACTGATTACTGATTTATGATTTCTTTTTTAAGTTGCTTTTAGTTATAACGATTTTTCAAAGATATATAGATATATTTTTTTAACAAGCAACTCACTCTCAGCCAAAACCTACAAATGTGTAACAAATTAATTAATACCATAAATGCAAATATATTCGAAATCCACTTTTAAGTCATTGTTAGTTAGCCCACCTTTCTTATAATGCATATAAATAATTATATTATTATGAATATTTTTCTCTACATAAAAACTCGTCACGTGCTGAGCTCTCGCGGCTGCTGTGCGGAAAGCAGTGTGCCTGCAAGCAGTGCTACTTTGTTGAACTGCTTGCTCGCTATCAGCTTACAGTTGTGCAGCCACTGGCAGCAGCCATGTTGACGCTCGCTGTTTTGATTGTATTTTAATTTGTTTTAAACTGCGCAGCTTGAAATGCATTCGTTGTGCTAGTACTCACACACACACACACACCGAGACGCACACACACTTGTAAATTGCCAAGCTTGTATTGTATGTATGTAACACTCACACGCAAACATGTTGTAAAAAGTCAAAATTTTTGTACATTTAGAATATTTCTCGACGCCTTATTCGATACTAAAAAAACGAATTTAAATTCTGAATTTGTGCATAATTTTATTAAACTTCTTTATTTTTTGTCGGTTTTGCTCTTTAAACACATAATATTTTTTTAAACACGTGTTTTTGTATATATATGAAAATTTAGCATTGAGCATATGTAATTTTGTCTAAATTTCAAACTATACCCATACACTCTACCCCGCACTCCCAAACACACACACACACGCTCACACTCACAGACACATCCATATGCCCCGAGCGCATTTCAAGCGTTGGCGCAGAAATAATTTTCGTATTATAGTTGTGTATTTTTGGGTATATTTTGATTATTTATATTTTTAGTTATTTACCAATCAACTGCCTGTCTACAGAGCGCAATGCACTGATTAATTTTAATTTACATAATTCATAATCCAACAAAAACTCTGTATTTAGATTCTCAAGTTCTGCATAGTTAAAGACGCATTGTATAACACACACTCACACACACATACACACGCGCTAAGCTGCATAGCTGTAGTAGTTAGCCTAAGACAAGCTCTTAAATAAAACACACACACACACATGCACACAGGCAAGCATATATGTGCATATTTATATATGTATTACACTCGATTATGACTTGCAGTTAAAGCAGATTTTAAATACTTACTTATGATATGCGATGTATTTGTATATGTAAAATAAAATGTGTGTAGAGTTAAAGAAGAAGAAGAACCAGCAGTACAGTGAAATTTAAGACGCAACTAGCGCTATCTACATGAATATAAAAATATGTGTATGTGTATACATATACTCTAAATAAATATATATAGAAATATATTGCTAGTTTTTACAGTAAAAATATTTTGCACGCATGTGAAACACTTTCGAGTAGACCGACAAAAATCAATTACAAAATAAAATGCAAAACAAAAAAACAAGTGTAAACAATTGTAACTTAACTTATATAAAAATGCATCAACAAAATAAAACCCTATGACTTAAGCAAAGCGTAGTTTAAAAACGAACACAAAGTAAAAAAGATTTGTCTGAAATTGGTTTTTATATAACTACATTTTGCTGGTGCTCGAAAGGCATCATCGACGTGGCCGCAAAATGCAAAAACAAATTTCAAATTTGGCAAAACTAACAAACTTTTTAAATTGTACATTTTATTTTGCCACTCGAATACAAGTGCATACTAAACTGGCGTTGAATAATAATATTACCATATTTAAACTAAATCCTAAAGAAATATACATTATATATATATACTATACAGCAGAAATTTGTAAAATTTTTCGACAGCAAAAGATTGTAAACTAAGCTAAGGACATAGCTAAAGCATACACTGAAAAAAAATAAGGAAAACCCATTTGTAATTTGTTGTAAAAAGCATAGAATGATAGCAAAAGAAGTTGAGCATGGCAGGACGGACAGGCAAACGCTATAGGGCAGATGTCAAGTAAGAACTATAAATTATACATATAAATATATATATATAAATTTATATTATACATACACGTACATACTTATAAAGCATAAATAATTATATTTTGTAGTTACACACACACGCAAACACACATACATACACACCGAGGAACCTTTAGTTTTGTAAACAGCGCGCAATCGGCACAAGTTACGTACGAGTCTATATATAAAGAAAAACAAAAACAAAAACAAAAATCGAAAAACAATTAACAAATTCGTGGATAGCATTCAAGCTTTCGAGCATTTGATTTAATTATGCATTACAATGGAAAAAAAAACAACAACTCTTATGTTTATTATACAAATTATATTTAATGCTTATTTTATTGTGAGAAAAAATAAAGAAAATGAACACCATTTATTATGTAGCGGAAATGGAATTGTTTTAATTCCACAATTCGATTGGTTGTTCCAATTGTTCTTCTGTTTTATCACGATTTTTAAACACATTCATATTGCTTCACGTTAAAGTTCCAACCAATTGGCTTCAATAGAAGGCTGCGATGACAACAAATCTGAAATCAAAATTCATATTAATATGGCATACATTTAATGGATAACTATATATAATATATATTTATATATATATATATATAAAACTAACCTATAACCATTCCAACAAAACCAAAACTAGATGAAAAAAAAAAAAAAACAAAAGACAGCGCAAAGTTTGAGGCATTTTATACGGCGCATTTTTTATATATACAGTCTAGCTGTCTATGACATACATATAATGATATAACCAAGAATGATCAACTTTTATATGAGCCAGTAAGTAAACGGACATATTTTTTTATAAGCCTTGGCAAGCTGCACTTTTTCCAGGCCGAACATTTTAACAAAATTACCAACTATCAAAATTCACTAAAATAAAAAAAAAAGAGAAAACCCAAATGTAAAATTGAAAGCATAACAAAAAGACATACATAAAAAATTAACAAATAATAAACACTAAATAACCCCCAAGAAATAATTTCAAATAGTAGAATTTTTCCATTGTAGAAATGAAATGTATGTATAACTATATAGATTTTTACTTGAAACTTGTTCTGGATGAGCAATTCTCGATATGCAATAGGAATATGATAGCAATGCATTACGACAACAAACTTGTAGAGAAACAACAGCTAAATCAGCGAGACAACCCCATATATAAAATTGTATATATATACAGAGTACTCGTACAAGGCATATATGTTTGCAATTGGGGTGTAAGGAAAGGTATATTTGGCATTTGGCAAGAAAACTTCAATTTTGATCAACTTTATTCCTAGTCTTACAAAAACCAAAATAACATCTTTGGATTTGCATCTTGGACATTAAACTTCTTTTCTTGTTGGCCAAATAATTTCATTTGCTCAAAAATTGCCGTTTGCGAATTGTTTTTCTTTTAAAAATTTATATATATTTCACATTTTTAGTTAGCATTTTAGCAAAAGTTGCATTGATTTTTATAGTTAGCGATTAATCCTTACACTTACTCCAGCTGCAGATTTGGAGCACTTTCGACCAATACTAGAACTGTACGACTTGGGATTGGTTATTGCTTTCTACTTATTTGTAATGCCCCCATTAATGCCACAACAACAACAACAACAACACCCAAAAACAACTCGAATTCAATTAAATGAAAAGGAAAACCTAATTAGCCACTCGTATGTACATAGGTGTACGAACATAACTAAAGATGAACAATTGTAAAACTAAATACTTCTACATATTTAATAAAAAGAAACATTAAAAACGACCAGCCGGATCTTTTATTTCGTATTTTTTCAGCTGCTTGCAGAACTTTCGTTGTTTGGATTTTTAATTCGTAAGGCCCTAGTGTATTTCGCGTCGAAAGAGGTATATCCCTCCGATATCGGGGGAAAAATAGCGGAGATATTTAAGCTCTACGATTTTTTTATCAGCGGCTGCTGATTAACAGCTACCCAGCTAACATTAATGTTAGTCAACAGCAGCCTAACATTTTCGTAACTTGCGGGTATGCAACATAATTTTTCGTTCGAAAAAATGTTGGCGACGTTCTTTGCATTTCTGTTCGCCTGGTACTTTATCTGAATTTGACAAGTGCACTGAGTCACTAATCTGCTCTCATCGAGATCGGTTGTGCCACGCATAGAGAAAGTACGAGTTGATCAATTGTGCAATCTACGTGTGCTAAAAATAGCACAAATCGAAAATTTCGGACGCTGTCTTGTGCAGTGTCGGCAGTTTGACACCAACAAAACGCAAGTGTAGTGCGATAAGACTGCATTCGTTGCCCTTTTGGGCAAAACATTACCCCTCTCTCCGCGCGCAGCCACACAAGAGGGGCAATAAACGCGGCGCTTATCAGCAAAGTTATCTGTTTATAAGCTTAACTTTAACGTTGAAGTTAACAAATATAAACTAATTTAATATGGATATGGATCCTTTTTCTAACTGTCAGCTTAGTAATAAGCCGATTGATTATGGAAAAATGCGCCAAGTAGCTGGAAAATCACCATTGGAAATCAGGACAAATTTTATTAATAGCCTGTTACGTACTAGTGCCACTAGTAATTCTATTTACACCACGGCAACTGCTGCAACCAGCAGTGTGAGCCATTGCGGAAGCATGGATAACCATGCAGCTAGCTTTACCCAATGCTCCTCAGACATTACCTCTGCAACAATCAGTGGAGCTTCTAAAATAAACTGCTTAGTTCTTAGTGAAGCTGCTTCAAAATTGGGGGCAGCCCAAAAGAATTTGAAAAATAAGAGGAAGAAACCATTATCTCCCAATACTAGCTCCAAGAGGCCGAATAAAGATGTCTGTCAGCTACTAAAGCCAATAGAAAATATCAGGCAGCAGCAGCATCCAGCTGACGTTTAATCATTATTGGAACAACAGCAACAACAATTTCTGAAATGGCAACAACAGCTGCAACTACAGTAGCAGCAGCAATTCCTCTTGTGGCTTCAGGAGCAGCAACGGGAACAACAACAACAAAACTAGCAAAATAGTCAACGACTAGAACGGCTTGAAAAAATGGTCCATGAATTGGGCAGCATGATAAAGCAATGGACAGGGGATGGATCGACTCCCCAGCTTTAAAACAGCGCCTCAGCCTCCCAATGAATCCACTCAAGATCCTAATTTGGAAGTTGAGCTCTTCGCGCAAAACAACAATGTCGACCTTCTAACCGAGATCAGACTAAACCGAGGAGAAACAGTCAAAATACACGGGTACACCTTCTATCCCGCTTACACGCCATCACGTCACAACCACGGTGTCGGAGGAGCGGCGGTATTCGTGAGGAGCTCTCTTCGCCATTTTCCACAAAGAGTAATTGAAAGGAGCACCATACAAATGTCTTTAATAAAAGTTGCCACAGGTTTGGGAGACATGGAATATAGCGCCATATACTGCTCACCAAGAAATAGAATTGAAGAAGGGCATTTCAGTGACATACTCGCTTCTTGCGGCCAAAGGTATCTGGTTGTCGGAGACTGGAATGCGCGACATTGGCTGTGGGGAGATACCTACAATTCACCCAGAGGCCGAGAACTAGCCGAAGCCAGTACAGCCAGAGGAGCTAATATTCTCGCAACAGGATCACCAACTAGATACCCATATGTTTCTAGTCACACACCTAGTTGCATTGATTTCGCATTATACCATGGGATACCGGATTCTCAAACAAATATCGGCCAAAGCTGGGATCTAGACTCTGACCATATAGCCCTTGTTGTAAATTTGCAAACAGATGGCTCTTATGTCAGGCCAAACCCTCGATTAATTACCAACCGTACGACATCATGGCTTTCAGACAACATCTTGAATGCTCGATTCAATTAAATCCGACCTTGGACTCTGAGGTAGACATTGAGAATGCAGTAGATTTTCTAACTGAAAATATACATAGCGCTGCTACTGCCACAACTCCACCCAACACCGAGTCACGTCCCATTCGTTATAGCATTGTTCTTACGAGTGAGGCTAAAGAGCTGATGAGAACAGAGAGATGCCTTCGAAGAAGAGCAATTCGATCCCAAGATCCTTGGGACCGAATTTTGTGGAACCGAGCAGCAAAACAGCTACGTAACCTCCTAAGGGAACTCAGAAGTGATTTCTTCGAGCAAAAACTGGCTTCCATGGACTACACCGTTAATGCAAACTACTCTCTATGGAAATGTACAAAATCACTCAAACGACAACCCTTTAGACAGGTACCTGTCCGAAGTCCTGGTGGCGAACTTGCTAAAAACGAAAGGGAACAGGCTAATGCTTTCGGATATCATCTTGAGGATCATTTCACTCCTTATGAATTTGCTACGATAGGCCAGGGAGACCCATCAGACTCTGCAGACCCCCCTGCAGATGTCCCTGCCTATTGAGCCTATAAGGATTGATGAAATAACTGACGCGATCCAGCTATTGCAGAAAAATAAAGCTCCGGGTATCGATAGAATCTGTAATGCTACACTGAAAGCCCTGCCTACAAGCGCGCTTCTGTATATAGTGCTAATTTTTAATGCTATTACCTGGCTCCAAGTGTTCCAAAGCAATGGAAACTAGCAGCGATTATGATGATTCACAAGCCTGGAAAACCAGAAGCTGATCCTGAGTCGTATCGGCCAGTAAGTCTCTTACCCTCCCTGTCTAAACTATGGGAGAGGACTATTGCTAATCGGATTACTGTCATAACAAGCCAATGTAATATCTTGCCGGATCACCAATTCGGATTTCGAGAGGGACACGGCACTGTGAAACAGGTCCACTGATTGGTGAAGCACATCATGCAGGCTTTTGACGACCTAGAGTTCTCAAACGCTGTCTTCATCGACATACAGCAAGCGTTCGATAAGGTGTGGCACGATGGATTAATGTGCAAAATAAAAAACGTTTTACCTGAACCGTACTATGGCCTTCTAAGGTCATATCTGGAAGCACGAGAGTTCAAGGTCAAGGTAAGGGACACATACTCGTCCATCTATACTATGAGAGTAGGAGTGCCACAGGGCAGTGTTCTTGGTCCGCTGCTCTACTCGTTGTATACCTCAGATAGACCCAACTACCTCTCAACATATGGAAGATCCCTCTAAGGCTATTATTGCGACATATGCAGATGACATTGCAGTCATTTATAACTCCAAAAGTTGCGTAGAAGCTAGCAATGGGGTATCAGGGGTATCTGGATACTCTCGCAGCTTAGTGCAAACGGTGGAATTTGAAGGTTAACCCGTTAAAAACTATTAACCCATGCTTCACCCTCAAAATGCGGATGCATATCCCTCCAATTCAGCTTGAAGGAGTTACCCTGGAGCAGCCGCCACAAGCTAAGTATCTCGGCATCACCTTAGACAAGCACCCTACCTTTGGGCCACACCTCAAAGCTACGGTAAAAAAAATGTCGCTACAAACTGCAACAACTGCTGTGGCTCAACAATAAAGGGAACACCTTGCTGCTGAGATGCAATAGAGCTGTATACGTGCACTGTATTTTGCCGATATGGCTCTATGGAGTGTAGATTTGAGGGATTGCAGCCAAATCAAATTATAAATACTGCAGAATCGGGTACTACGACAGATAACCAACTGTCCCTGATACGTACGCGGTTCTACACTCCATAAAGACCTCAAAGTGCATACAGTCGAATAACAGATTGGAAGGCACACAAGCAGATACAGCGACAGATTGCTGAGACACCGCAGCCTGCTCGCCAGAGGACTACTCCCTGCCCAACGTCTAAGGCGACTCAAACGGCAAGGTTTTGCCAAGACGATTGGGTCCCAGTAAGACTATCTAAATAACATTTCTATCCATGTGTTGTTATGGTACTAAATTATGATTGTACAGGTTCTACATAATAATACATAATAATAAAAAAAAAAAAAAAAGCCAAGTGCACTTTAAAAGCCGACTTAACAGTCGATGTAGCAGGCATGTAAGTTAACAGCATCTTAATATATTCAGTTGAAAATCGCCTGTCTACCTTCTGTGCATTTCTGTTCGCCTGGTATTTTAGCTGAATTTTGCAATTGCCCCTTAACAATCGATGTTGCAGGCATGTCAGTTAAATCGCTTATCTACCTGCTGGGCATTTCTGTTCGCCTGGTATTTCAGCTGAATCTGTGGTAAAATTTCGCGACCCAGCCTAGTTACCCCCAAAAAGGGAAATATAGAAGGCAAACGGGTTGTTTACAGTATGTAAGGAAATTGTTTAATACTTTGTTCATATCAATAACTAGTATTTAACAAGTAATTAAAACTTAAGACTTAAGAGTCCTTATCCTAGGTTGACTAATTCTCGTAAAACTGGTCGATAGGAACGTTTTTGAGCAGCTGATTGGCCAGTTTGCCAAATTCGTTGGCCAACTTCTTCTGCAGCTGCGCTTGCATGGCCTCCAGGACAATTTGTGAGTTGTCGCGCAGGAAGAGATTGGTAGCCTCCACTGAAAGTATAATAGAACATTTTTAGAATAATATGAGCTTTTAAGGATGCATCTACATGCTACTTACGTAGAATACGATTGTTGTTGAAAGCGCGCGAGATGCTCATGGTGACCTTGTCCACGTCCAGGACTATGCTGAGCGAGTCCACGTGCAAATACTTGCCGCGTGCGGACGTCTTGCCGGTAAGATCGGCGGTGACGCCATTGAATACGGCATGGAAATCGCCACCGCCGGAGGCGGGTATGATCAGCAGGACGCCGGCGCTGGTGTAGTTGGCCTCGATCTTCAGCTTTGGCATGAAAATGCGCGCCTTGAAGGGCTCACCGCCATTCTCGCCGAGCTTTAACGATTTCACCTCAAAGTTGCTGGCTCCAAAGGCCTCCATGTTCTTCAGCGTGATCTTATAGCCCTGCGGTCCCTCGGTCAGCTGCAGAGCCAGCGTGTCCATCTTGAAGGGCTCCACTGACGGCAGCTGCAAAGAAGAGGGAAATGTCGATGAATGTGCCACAATTGTTGCAATTGCAAACCGAATCAAGACAGACAATTTCCGCACTTGAATGGCAACTGCCGCATGCAACTGGCAACTAGCGAAACGTTGCGCAAGCGCCGCATTTGGCATTTGCCATTTTGTGCCTTATGCAACTGCAACTCGTTTAGCAATGCAAATATGTGCATGGGGCATGCCACATGCCACGGGCCGAAGGGTTACACACCTCTATCTCTGGTATGCCGCTGGCCAGATAGGGCTTCAGGTGCTCCAGGGAAGCACTGAAGCAGTCCACGAGCTTGGGATCGTCGCGACGGCATTGTTTAATGTACGCAGCTGTTGAGCAAACAACAAAAAGAAGAAGAAGAAGCATTAAAATATTTGTCACTTAGTTGTTTAAACAAAATTCAATTTCCATTTCAGTTTCCGGTAATATATTTTCAGTTCGTATAAAGTTCAACGACTCTGGCCAGAATCGGCCAACTTAAATTCAAGTTCAGGCCTGGCCAAGACCAAGTGCGAGATCTCTGGCAAGGCCGTGAAGCCAAGGTCTTTCGAAATGCAACGATCAAGAACCTGTCTGCCATTATATTTTATGTGATATTATGTGCTGCACGACCGTCACATATCATTGCTATATCATTAAATATGGTTTATATTCGGCTGCTGATCATTAGCGGCGCGACTGCAGCTCAGCATAAAATTCAAGTTGAAGGTTGTTTAACGGAAACTTGAATAAGAGTCTTTGTTTTATTTGTTTTGAGTTTTAGTTGCGTTCATTAAATATGAATTTGGTTCATAGTTTGCATTTTCAATGCGTCTTTTGTGGATGCGGAAGTTTGTCTTTTAGTTTTGTCTGAGCTTTTCTTCACATAGTACACCTGCCCGAGTTTATTTTTTCTACCTCAAACGGTGTCGCTTTGGGCAATTAACACACGCTACCTGTAAACTACACAGAATGTACATTATATTTATGATCGATATGCGCTTCACTTGACACATTTGAATTTTGCATTAAAAATATAGACAAATGTGAAGAGCTATAAATGCTAATTGCAAATATCGCGAACTCATCTTGTGTACACCCACATTTTTCCAGCTAATTAGCCGACCTGTCTAACTTTACTAATGAAATGGGACTTTTTTGCATTTTAGAAGGGTGCCAAACAAGATCACAATGCACTTAACTGTTTGCTTCATATAAACTAAGCTAAATTAATATAGACACAATTATATTATAATATATTAAATGAATATTGGAACTTTTAGTATAATAATAAACAAACATTTCCGCGGTACTCCGAGCTAGACATCAATTGTGAAAGTAAAGTACATGCTTTTATAAAAAAAAGAATCCTATAATGTGAAAAAGCCCAACTTGAATCCACTTCTATATCTATAAGAAAAGTCCAGCCAACAATCTTATTTATCTCATGTTATATATAATATATAAAATATATATTCCATATCTGTCTACAGCCAACAATCTCATTTATATAATTTCATATTAAATATATATAATATATATAATATAATATATAAATAATATAGAATAAAAAATTGTGCATTGATCAATCAGGTTGAAAGAAAATCAGAGATTAGACATTTATTTCCCTTTAGATAGTCGCACATTCAACATATTAATATGCAATTATTTAAACTTGTTGAAGCACGACTTTTCGCACACTTGAATTTTTAGACTGTATCTCAATTGAGATCGTTTTGAGAACTTACGCGTTTCGGCCTGTGTGAAGCAGATCGGCTGCATGAGAGCGGCCACAATGCACAAATATTTCAGCATTTTAATTTGTTATATATACAAAGATCTAAACAATTAACACACGACACGCTGCACGCACAACAACAATCACAATATTATTAACAAATAAGCAATAATTATGTAATTTATGCAACTCGATTCGCGACAGACGACCAACAACGCGCAGCTGAGAACGACAACTGTGAACGTTGTCAGCGTCGCGGCTTGATTTTAAAGCCCCCTTCCATGAGGAGGCGATCCAATGCAAAGCCCAGCTCTACGCTGGCAGCGACGTCGACGCCGACAGAGTGACTGACTGAATGACTAAGTGACTTAGTGACTGCTAACTGGTGTTTAGTAAAGGTGTCTAAAGGTCTCTTTTCCGCCTCACTCTTCAGCTGGAGTCTTCGCGTGAGTCTGTGCTGCGGCGTCTACCAAAATTATGATTATTGTCTTATACCCTGTACCCATTAAGAATGGCACGGTATATTGCGCTCGTGTAGCCACTCGAAAGGTAAACATTTTTGGTACGTAGGAATACATTTTACATACGACTAAATATATACATATAGACATGGGTACAGGGTATCTGATAGCGTGATCTGTCGCCTAGAGCACTCTTGTTTTCGTTTGTTTTGTATCCCCATTTGCCGAATGGCATAAATAGTAATTAAGCTATCCAATTTTCGCAATGTACTGTAAATTTGTGTCTTCAACTCGTTTAGAACAAAATGTTAATTATTATTATACATTTTTTTGTTGATATGTGTCAAAGTGCAAATCATTAACTTTGGAGATTCTCCGTTGCAATTAACGGTCTACATATGTATATATAATAGTTTGTTGAATCTGTTTAGTCACGGCTCAACAAACCCCCGCAATTGACAACTGTCCAGCAGAAAAAACCTTCCCTATAAGCAAATGACCTCAGCAGAAGTAACCACAAGAGCACCCTGACCAAAAACAAATTTAATATCTATAATTTGTAATCTTTTAACAGCATTCAACTACTTCTATTTCTGTGCCAAAGTCATGTGTGGAAAACATTAAAAAGAAGTAAGATAAAAGCTCAGATTCAATAACATACTTAAGCACAGTATAATTATATAATTTTATAAATTGCCATAACAAATTATTCTCTAAGGGTTTTTCCCAGCTGCCTATCGTAACCAGTTTTGTTCTGCGTTACATTTAGATTCTGGTATTCAGATATGTTTTTAATAAATAGATTCATCAAATATTGTATTTTGGTAAACAAATTAAACGATCAGCTCAGGGGGAGGCGCACAAGCCCAACTTTGCACTGTCTGATCTTTGACTGTCGCCAATCTCAAACTGTTTACAATGGCCGTGACAAGTGCGGAGGAGAGCAAAAGTGGGCAAGTGCCCATCCACACACAAAACTAAAGTCGATTCGAGCACATAATAAATGCGAGTTCGTGTACGAGTGCCCGCATACCAAAAACTATACGACAATAGTGAGAAATACTTAAAGAGGAGCCCCTAGAGCAAATAGCTGAATAGCTGAAATGGTACAGGAAAACATTTTTCAAGCCTTTGTCTAAAGTACTCGCATTGTTATTTAAATGATTAGACGGCTTTGTTCTAAGTGCCAATGGCTATGGCATATTAAAACAAAACATTTACCAACACTTTCAGAACAATGTTTCCAAGAAATTACCAAAAGTATCTATTTAATTATTACAAAAATATAATGGGTAAACAGGCGAGTCACTACGTGAGGCCTTAAGTGCAAATAAATAAAGAACTGGCGACAGATTATACAATTTTGTGTTCTCTCTTTTTATTTCTAGCTAGAGCTGAAAGGAAACGGGTTCCATAAAACTGGATTTTAATGGATTGCAACTAACTATTAGAAATTAAATATTTAGCTCTGGCTTTATTAGCACTTGCCAGTTTCACTATCGGTGACAACTAGTTTCTAAATGCTACTGAACTTAAAAATTAAACTTGATTACCATATAAGCAGACAGTTCTAATAAACAAGAAAGTCAAGGAAGTGTAAAATTCTAGGTCACTTGAAACGCATTTTGGCACAAATTCTTCTTGATTCTAGATTAGTATTTATACCAATATATATTCTGGCAGTTTTCTCCTGGCAATATAGACAAAGCATATAAGAATATAAGATATCGGCTGGCAACAGGAAAACTCTCAACAACATAAGATAAACAAACCACAATGAGCACTACGACCAATAAAAATGACCTTGACCGTAGCCAGCAAAACCTGTAATTCCAATTATTCGCACCCGGTCCAATATATGCAACGCGACTGTAGCTGCTGCATTGTCGGTTGCGCTCAAAAGTATGCAACAGTTTTTACAACCGGACAAAAGATTTTCGTTTTATTTTATTCACATGTTATAAGCTTTATACATCATGTTTGTTTTGTACTTTGCACAAATTTAATACAAAAGGAAAAACAATTTTATAAAATGCCAAAAATTTCGGCTATTAAAATTCACAATGCATTTTTGCATTGAATGGACATAAAGTTCTTGCAATCTCTTTTTTTCCTTTTGCAAATTGCAATTCTAAGGCCGGGGGCGTGTCAATGGAATTCGCCATAAAGAAGTATGATTGATTGCCATACACAAACTTTTGTATACTCTTGTAGGGGGTATTATAACTTGTCAGCAATTGTGTAACGCATATAAGGAGACATCTCAAATTGATTTGATATAGCAAAGATTGTCTGCCCATTTGTCTGTTTCTCTGCAAACTCGTCTCTCAGCTTTAAGGTAATCGTCCGTCTGCCATAGGAACATTGGTTCCACAAGGGTATATAATCTTTGGCATGCGAAGATAGCCATTCCTGCTTGTTATTCAATAAAAGAACCTTTTGTTGCTGTTATTGTTCGTATGCAAATCTTAAGAGCGTGAGCTAAATAGTAAATGGCAGCACTTGACCTTTCTAAAATGCAAGTTTTGAGCCATAAAAGGGCACAAATTGCCAGCTATTCATGAGGCACAAAAATAGTTTACAACTAGGAGGTGATATATCGGACTATGCTGAATGCAAGGCACGCAAGATTAAGTAGAGCTAATCCCTGCACAAATCAAGCGCATGATTCATGCCACAACTCATTACGCTGTTTTTTTTTAAGGCCAGCGACCGAAGAGCTCACGGCATGAACTTAACCTTCAAGTAGCGGTACAGCCCAGGCCCCATACACAGGCCCAGCCCAGATACAGACACGCCTGCCTAGGCAGACGCAGTTGCATGTGGCGGCAACGTCTGGTGGGTGTGGCCCCATTTTGAGGCCTTTGTTCAGCCCGTTGCACTGCCTTTGGCGCTGCTTTCGACGTGCGGGTTCATTTCTTTTGGCTGGATTTCGTTTTCGGTTAAATGGCTTGGTCCAATGCAGCGTTGGCTCATTCCTCGCTCAAGTCGCGTGAAAGTTGGACGCCAGTCAGCGCAAAGAAAGCAACCAGCCGACAGCAACAGACGACAACAACAAGCAGCTACCTTTATAAGAAAGAAATTCCTACAGCCGAGCAAGAACAAACAAAACAAAAACAAAATCAAACGCAACGAACTGGTCCGTTTTGACCCACATACTGCAAGCTGAGAGCCCAGCGCTAGAATTTCAGTATTTCGAGCGTCTAGTGAAATTTGTAAATATATATTTTCTATACGCAGAATGTTTCATTGTGATTTTTCGGCAAAACCTTAAATTCTGCTAAAACGCTTTCGCTCTTACTCATAAGAAAAACGAGTTGCCAGAAATTAGCACGTGCTAATAAATTATGAAACCAAACTAAAAGTGAAACAACGCTGATAACTATCTATTTTATTTTAACTTGTACTTTCATGCAGACCTACAAAAAACCAACAATCACAACAACCAACAGTTATGTGCCACAAATTTGGAATAATATTGCTGCTGTCCACAGTGGGCGCCATTTGGGCCCAGCAACAGCGTAAGTAATGCCAAAAAATACCTTAGAAAACTGCCAGAAATTGGGTGCTCTTTGCGTCTAACGCTTTCTATCGGATTACGACGACGCTTTCCAGTCCTTAAAGGGCGGGGCCTCCATGGCGAACACGTCGCTTTTAAATAGTCTTAAGTAGCGCTCGATTCGGTTTTAATTACCCGGCCAAAACGTGGCCACCACTTCGAAAGTTGATGATGATTTAAACGCACGCTTCCAGGAATTGCAATTTACCATATCAAAAACAAGCTCTAAGACAAGAAAAACCGGCACACCGAAAATGAAATACCCTTGTAGAACTTTGACTGCGGGCTTACATGTATATGATAGCTATATAATATATATTGGTGAGAGGCTAGAGACTAGTAAATGGAATCTTTGCAAATGATATCTATAGATACAAAGTTTTTATACCTAAACTTTATTACCTATCAATTGTTTCTGGGCAGCTACATGATACCCAACCGATCGGAAGAGAGAATTCCGACATATGCAATGTTATACGACGACAGGGGAAAAAGTTTCCATAGTTAACACAAATCAAGAATATATTATACCTTATGGGGTCGGAGATATCTCATCCTATGCGTTCCACAGGGCATTAAAAAATTCCCCAATTATGAAGTGAGTTTAAAAAGGGCTTTTGATCTCAGTTCTCAGATAATAATTTGACATGGTTGAAGTAAAAACTCTTTTTGACAGCACTTTACCGCAAGCGCTTAACAATCAAGTGCTATAAACCAAGCTATTTTTAGAAGGCCATAGAAATGTTATTGTTGAAATGAAATTGCAATAAGACGTGCCTTCCAGCTTTTATTATATAATGAGAGCAGACGAAGCTTTGAAATACTTCAACTTAGCTATAAAACGAGCCAGAGTGCCTAGTCGAGAGTAACCAACTGGCAGATACCTTGCTTCAAATGGCCATAACATAATTTTGTACCTTTTTCTAAACATGGTTAGTGCTCCCCCCCTTAAGGAAGCTAGCGATGTTTCTTTCTTGAATTACATCCCTTATTCAAGTTTAAAGACTTAAATATTACATATGAATGTTAGTAGACACCAAATTTTGGGACAAACAGGAAGATTTTCAAAGAATCAATAGTTCTCGATCTGATTGTTCTAACGAGAACCTAAATACAAAATTTGAGTTATCTAGCTCTTACAATCAACGATATTAATAAGTGGAGCTGATCAAGCGATAATTGCTTTTTCCGAAAAAGGGCAGTTAACGATTAAAATTTTCTGTAGAAGGACCTGAATTCAAAATCTTCAGCTCGTATGAGATCTATGTTTATGGAGTCGTAGTTGCCGCCATCTGTATGTTACATACATTTCCTCCGCTACAATAAAACATTTTCAAAGGGCATCGATTATAAAAACGAACAAAAGTTGTTCAAGTCCTAAGAAGCTAGCCAGATACTCCATCCAACTAAATGCAAATAGATAAAGTCGAGAAACGCTTGACGATGATGCTCGTAAGCAAACATGGTTAACATATGAAGTTAGGTAATAGTATTAGATAATAAACTAGCATTGAGCAGACTAATTTAAATACTGGGGAGCTCTGATGCTGATGCTCCAAGTGGAGGCACTCACAGTAGCAGTTGAGTTCATTCCCCCAACTTGCCAGATGGCAGCTTAGCCCTAAACGTCAATGAAACCGCCAATAAAGCTGTCACTGCAGTTTTGTTCACAGACCCAGAGCCGGGCAATAACAAGTTGATTGCTGAACATGCTCACGCCTGTAGCTGGGATTGATCTTATCCGCCCGTGTGGATCTGCACTATGTGAACTTGAACTGAACAATTCGCAAACATTGCGAGCCGTGTTGCAATTAATTTCGTTGCACTCGGATGCGCAATGCTTGAAAACTTAAACTAATATAAATGAAAAGAAAACAGAAAACGTATTCACAAAAGATAATCTGCAAAAGTGGCTATCCTAAGAGATTTGCGTGCAAAAAAGACAAAACAAAAGCGTTGAACTGGGAAATGATGCACAGTTGGCGCTGGTCACACTGTCAAATGCAATAATTATATATCTCCCTCTCTCTCTCTTTTTATCCTTCTCACTTGCAGCTTACTATCTGCAGCAATGCCCTCGCGATGAGGCAGCTATTAACGAGTGTCTACGTGATAGCGGCAACAAATTGGTGCATTATCTGCAAAAGGGCATACCCGAATTGGATATTTACGAGGTAAGGCTTTATTTGCTGTTAAATATTTTTCAAACTTCCTCTCACTATCTCTCTCTCTGCCTCGCAACAGATTGAGCCCGTGGTTATCGATGAGATCGGCATTGTGCTGGGCAGCGGCCCGGATGGCTATCGCGCCCTCTTCCGTAATATTCAGGCCTTTGGCGTTAGCAATATAACTGTTACCAATGTGCGGTAGGTATATTCAATATATTCCCACATTTGTATAGCCTAAACACGCCCCCAAAGAATTTGTACTTATCACGCTTAAAGCTGAAAAGTCGTTTTTCCGACCCAGGGGCTGAATTGCACAAAAAACTTCAATTTCATCCCAAAACGGAAATAATGTAACAAAATTCAGCTTCCCAACTCAAACGGTTTGACTGTACGTACATGCTCAATCAGCAGTGAGTCAGTCAGTCACAGTTTGATGTATTTAAGTAGCTAAGTCAAGAGTAGGGTCACACTCAACAGCGCACTTGTTTGTACTGTGATCGAGGGCATTTTGTATTTTTAGTATTGCTTTGACCCTTAATAGCCCGGTGCTTGTTTGTTACAGTCTAATACACTACTTCGCACTGGCTATAACCATTTTGTTAGGAATCTTACACAGCTTAACTGCAATTAATTCACTGTTTAACTAAACTAAATATATATATTTTAATTGTTCATTTATAACGCTCAAGCCTGTTTGGCTTTACACACATTTAAGGTACTCCAAGTTCAGTAAGGGCATTTAACAGTTGCATATCCATATATTTGAATTTGTTTTCCGTCTATTTTAGCCACAAAATAATCGTCTAGCATATGTATCCATCAATGGATAAACGCGTCGAGTTTTTTATTAATTCAATTTTTTTACGGCTTAAAAAGCCGTTTGCTGCCATTGCGAGTAAGCTGAGTCTCTTTTGTCTGTATCTATAAAGAAAACAAACTGTTGAGCACTTGCAGTTATCATTATAAACCTGCCCCAAGCTCTTAAATGCTGCTCTCTTTAGTAAGTGAGTAATCGATTTGCGTTAAACATTTGCATTTTCTGGGATTTTTCATTGGAACGTGATTGCCCCCAATGGTTTAGGCACTTCGGGCTTACATTTACCACTAATTGGAAATATATATAGCTCATAAATTTAACTTGTGGTAATTTTTACTGCAGCGTGCGTGGGTGGGCAAATTAGCAGAAACGTTGCTTGGGCAATCACAGGTTAATATTAGAATATTCAATTGTTTAACGCTAAGCAAAATATTAGTTGGAATGATTTATTAACGCCAATCACAAGCAGGAGATTAGTAAGAATCAGCTTCAAAAAGTACCAATCACATGCGAATACTTGGAATTGAAGTCATTTTCTCAGCTCTGGACAAATTCATGTAATATATTCCGTTTGGCAGCCATTATCCAAGTGTGAACCAGCCTCCGCTCGAAGATTGTGCAGCATTATGTCCTTGACCTAGCCGCGAGCAATACACAAATCAACAAATCAACTTGGCTCGAAAAGCACACGACAATTTTCCGTTAACGACAAACGACACACATCAATAAGCCAAGTGCCAAGTGCCAAGTGAACAAGAAAGAGCAGCAAAATTCGGTTTGACGAACACCAAATACTCTCGATCTGCCGTACACATAAACATATAAAATACTGGAGGACAATTTGCCAATCCTTTTTTTTTTTGTAAATTTCTTCTCGACTTTTTCTTTGCATGCTGGTTCGACGCTGAAATAACTGAACTTTCGTAATGCAAACTTCGACTTGAATAAATAAATATTTTAATCGTTGAAAATTGTATTATCTGTACACCAAAAGGAACTTTCGGTTAACAACTCCCTAAAGCTCAAAATTTTAAAGTTTGGTTTGGATAAATCTTAAGATATATATATATATGTATATGTATATATATTAATATATATATATTTATATATACTCATATATATATATATGCATATATACTGATTGAAATCCCTCTGAGTCGTTGCACATCTTTCGATAAATTTGGAATACCCTTTACAAGAATTTAACAAGAGTGTACGACGTCTTTAGAACCATTTATATAGCAAAGCATCTAAAGAGCCAAACGAGTGCCAAAGCTGACGATAGCCAAGAAAATGTGGGTCAAAGCGATTCTCTATGTCAATTTGTGTGTAGCCTCCTGCCGGCCAACCAAACAGTCAGCAGCCGGTTTCAATTAGAATTCAATTTCGATTTCGGTTTTTGGCTTGACATGGGGGGTTTCAGTTTGGCCACCGCCGGGCTGTGCTCTACACTCAGGGAAAAAACCAAGAACTTAATGTAAATATCTTTAACTGAGCATGAAATGTTTTAGTTAAAGATTTCAAAGACTTGAAATTTGTCAGTTAAAAATGCAGATTTAGAAAGAAATCTTGTTGTACTTCCATTGCTGTTAAGATCGTTTCGCTTAAGGCATTGCTTGTTAAAAGTTTTTTCGACTAAAATTCAGAACAACAAAACAACGTTTAAGAAAATGGTTTCAGTAGAAAACATATATATAGAATTCAAACCAAGATATTTGCCGTTTCCCTTACACAAATTCTTTTAAAAAGTATTTTCTACCAGGTATTTTTTCTCTTTTTTTATAAAGAACTCTTTCCTAGAATTGAGAGCTGGTTTTTTCTCTGAGTGTACAGGTTATTTGTGTAGTTTGCACCAGTTTTGTCGTCTCGAGTCTGTCAAGTGTCGCAAGTGAACCCGAAACGAAGGTCGAGGTGGAGTTAGTTGCCACAAACGAGTGCGACATTGAATTAAAATAAAAATTAGAAAAATTAAATAAAAATAAATAATGCAAATACATGAGCACATCCAGCAATGAACTTGCAGTTTTATGCCTAGCCTGAACACATATATCATCATTGTGTCATTATCACTGCCATTGTCATCCGTCACTTGCAGCTCCGACTTGGACTCGCTGCAGTTCCAGCTAACGTGCGAGATACCCCGCATACGCGTCAAGGCCCAATACCGATCCACAGGTGTGCTGATCTTGGTAAAGGCCTCCGGTGCCGGCGATTATTGGGGCGAGTACGGTGAGTTGAGTCTAACAAACTATAGCGTAAACTAATCGTGTGGTACACCCCCCTCGGCTTATAGAGGGCGTCAAGGCCAAGATCTACTTCAAGGCTATGGCCAATGAGGGCGCCGATGGACGCACATATCTGACCACGGACTCGGTCAAAATGGACTTCAATGTCAAGGATATACAAATGGGCGTTGACAACATAGCCAACGGCAACTCGGTTATACGTGAGTACACATTTTTCCAAAACGGTCCCAAAAGATATAGATCTAAAGTGGATTTTTCCACTGCAGAGGCCGCTCTCAATCTGTTCATCAACTCGAACTCCCAGGAGCTGCTCAAGGAAATGAAACCCGCGCTGCGCACCAAACTGACCCTCGTCATACGCAACTTCATGGATCGCCTGTTCGCCAAGATACCGCTGGACGAGTGGATCAACTTGAACTAGTTAAGTCCCTTCGATTTAGACGTCCGACGAGTACTATTTAGTAAGCACTAATTTATTGCAACATGACACAAATTCACCCAAAAAAAAACAAAAAAAGAAAAACAACACACACTATAATAAAATAATTATACGAAACATATTTAAGAAATGTAGTGTGGCTTATTTAACCTGGGAGTCCTATGCAGTTGCTGCTTATTTAATATCCGCCATAAAACAAAATAGCTCGGCTTATGCTTATATTATATTTATATGGCTAATTCGGTAGTAGGTAGGTGCAATTGCGGTTTAACCGTTGACTTACCATTATCATTAGATCGCACAGTAATGGGAGGGTCGACATGCTAATTGAAGGTCTCGACAATATGAATGAATGAATGAAAAACTATGGAGAAATTTTAAACAATCTGAAAATAAAGAAACAAAATGATGTGCGGCATTTAAATAATTTTTAATGGCAAAAAAATGTTTAAAAAAAAAATACATATGCACATGATTTAAATTTCATTTTTGTTCAAAGTAATTTGGACTTTTGAATTTAAAATCTTTTCAATATTTTTTTAAATATGTTTTTTCTTTCTTTGTTCACTTTCTTGGGATAAAGTTAGCCACTATACTTTATTCAAAAATCATCATTTCCATTGAAATGTATTCCTGAGCGAATAAAAACAAAACTCAACCCACAATCATTAATTTTAAAAGTATTTAAATGAAATGATATGAAAAATCATTTAAGAAAAAATCGATATTAATTTCTATACAAAACAAGACCATGAATAAAATTTCCGTTCTTTTAAAATAAATTTTTTTTTTTTAAATAATAATTTTTAACAATGTTATTTTTGCTACTGTACTTTATACAAAAGTCATAATTCCCAAACTCAGCCCATAATCATTAATTTAAAAAGTATTTAAATGCTTAAAAATAATGATTATAGCTTAAGCATTATAAAAAAAAAATGAAAATTAATCATTAAAAATTAAAAATAAAAAACTTACTACGATTATGGTCCCCAGAGCCCGAGCTGTGGCATATAGATAAACGATGAGGGCATACTACAAACTAAATGTGGTACCAATTGAAGAAAGTAAAATAATGCTCCTTTTTAAAAATTCGTATTCTTTTCGAGAAACTAAATTTGTATGAGCCATAAGAAAACTTACTATTATTTATATGCGAATGTCGTGGAAAACAGTGTTAACGTTTCTTTCTTAATCCCAGCGTAATCGATTTTAGCGGCTCGTGTTTGAATTACTCAGATCGAAGGTCTGAACAGATTTCCTTTAACGTTTACATTAGTATAAGCGAATTATAACTCGTCCACTTGCGTGTGGGCGAACAATTTTTTTGTTCTGTTTTTTAGCCATAACAGTCTCAACTCCGCGGGACGCCCATCAGTTGTCGCAGTGAACCATGTCAGCCGTCTGGTCATAGCCTCGCCTTCCAGAGAAGCTTCAGAGAAATTACATAAAATTCAGTTGACAGGCGATGCAAATTTAAAAACGAAAACCCAGCAGGTTGTCAACACGAGTTGATCGGCCCCCTGTTGAAAGATCTTCTAATTGCGCAACTGCACGCTCGGCCCAAAGTGCGTTCTAGAAAGCCTAAAACAAAAACAATCTATTAAATGGCATACTGGGTTATCACTTACCAAAAGGGGGGCTATTCGCGGTATTAACTGAAAATCCATATTGCAGTTTATTTTTATTTTTTATTTTTCCTTTTAGGCGGGTTATTGCCAGTTAGCAGAAACAAACACAGAGACACATTTGTGTGAACGCGATCATTAAGATTATTATTATGATTAACCCGCAGCCGCTTAACATCTCGTTCTCACTATTAACCCCCAGCGTTTGTCTGGCACCGTATCTCCCTTGGCCCCGGGCATTCTCAACGTGTTTTGGGGTTCTACGTTTGCCCAGTTCTGAGCTCGCCAGCGACGCTCATGTAAATCGAAGCGTCAATTTTCGCTATAAAACGCGAACGACTCAACAATTTTGCATTCAGTACGATCTGTAGACGGGTTACTATAACTACAAACACAAACCACTCTAGTCGAGCAGATAAAACGGTCTACACGAAAACAAATTTACGAAAAACGTTAGTAAAAAGTGCTTAAAATATAAATTTTACAACTTAACTTACTTTAACAAACTTATTTACACTCCTGAAAAGATCTGGAGGCAAAAAAAAGAACATTAAATTAAAAATCTATAAAAAAGTTAGTGCGATTCCTGAGAAACACATATGTTAAAAAAAGAAGAAACTATAATTACTTGAAAACATTCCCGGTTTTTGTTTGATATCGTGAACAAATTACAATAATTCACAAGTTGAATAAAAGGGTGTAGCCAGCAGTTAGGTTTTCAGGCTTCATTTATTTAACTTTCATGTGTCTAGGGTTTCCATAATAATGTGTTCTGTGGAATGGTCGCAGTTGGCCTCGGTTAGGCCTGGGTTGGTTGCAGGTGGTTACCTACTAGACGCTGTGAGGACTGCCGCCACAGTCCGACTCTGATGATAAGTAGCCGCTAATGTCCTCATTTAAAAAGTTGTCCCTGGCTTCCATTTCATCATCGCTGGGCGGATCGACAGCCGCTGCAAATGCTTCCAGGTTCGAGAGCGCTTCGCAGGGTGTTCTGTAGTACTTCATATGGATCTTATTGAACCCATAGCTCAATTGGCCATCGCACCTGGTTAGGTATAAGATTGATTCGTGACTGATTTGAAATATCACCTCCATGGCAGCCTCCCTGAATCTGACTGCTTTGATGACCTTCCAGTCAGTTGTCGGTAGTTCTGGGTTGAACGTGGTCATCAGCTCCAGAATGTCCCTGGACTCTGAGGGTGTCTCGGGTAGCCAAGCAGTTGCCCAAGGACGCGACGGTATGTCCTGCACATCAATCACCTCCAACTGAGCGCCTGGGTATACTTCGCCAATCTTGGTAATAGCCTCTTTGTAAAGAAGGGCAGATCTATCATTGTCGCAGGCAATTAGCTTGGTGGTTCCTTGAAACCACCCGATATCTGTACACGATGGCGGCAGACCTGGGTTATTCCGCAATACTTCCAGTGCAACGGAAGCCATCGAGGCCTGAATCCAACCCCATTGGTTTCGAGGGATCTTACCATCTGGGTGGCTGTTGTCGATGACGCCGATTATTTTGCGTCCTCTTGCAACTTTTACAAATTGTCTCAAGGGGGTTTCATGCGTCCGGACGCGATTCGAAGCGGAAGGCTCAACTTGCTGTTGGGTGCCGATCTGATCATCTGCATCCAATGAATCGAATCTGGGTGGCTCTTCTTGTGCGTGGAGTCGTTTCGGCGAAGTATTTTTAACTTCCACAAACAAAGTCTCCACCAGGGGCTCGACATATGCTGGCTCATCATGCTGGTTCGTAAAGCCGCATTCAAAGTTTGGAAGCACAGCTCTTGCCCAAGCGATATCCTCTTGAATTTTCAGATAATCTTCTCTCGACGAAGCCTGATCTTCCGTAATCGGTGCAATTGCATTACGCTTTAATATGCGCTTGGCCTTGGATTCATCAAATTTGGTGGCTTTTGATGGGTCGGGCCTTGAAAAATTAGCTGGTCTTCGGCTTACAATCGGGTTCCCGCCGGGTTGGCCAGGCATTGTTGGTGCTTGCCTGATGCCCGATGATTTGCTAGAGCCAGCTGAGCGGTTGCTCATGCTCCAATGAGCTCCTCTTCCCTTGGCGAAACTGGTAGTTTCTCTCGGTCGTTTATTGGGAGGACCGTACTCCCGTTTTTGGGTTTGTTTAGTTGATTTCATCTTGTTTTGTTCCCACGAGTGGCGGAGATTAGAATCAGTCGACTCGGGCAGAGATCCGCAGTACCCGAGCAAGGCTACATAGAACAGGCGGTCGCCACTTGCCTGAGCTCTCCGTTCGAGACTGGGCTAGTTTTGTTGAACCTGGGCCCCCCAGCCAGGCTGACTCTCGGCACGGGTCGACTGACACCTTAGTCCAGCCCAGGAGTGAGTGTGGGTGTGTATGTGTGAAGCTATGCTTTTGAAGGCGGCAACACAAGCGCCTTGCCAATGCCATGGTTACTGCCACGCATCCGCTGGTTGTCCGGGACTGCTTATTTGCGGTTGGTCGTGCTTATTCGCAGCTAACCTCCGGTAGAAGGCCGTTCGCTATCCGCAACCTGCGACCCGTCTGGCGGCCCCAGCTAGGCCCCTGTCGAGCCCAACTCACTAGCTCTTCAGACCAGACACTCTGTACTTAATTTTTATTGACAATAATCAACAATGTCAGTATATTATTAGTCGCTAGGAAGAAATCTAAACAAGAGCAGCCTTTCGTATGCAAATTGCGACGCCAAAATACCTACTACTTATTGGCTGGCAAAGCTGTAATCATAACGTCTATAATCAGCAGCGACTTGTGGATGATTATATTAATTGCATTGTTGGGCGGCTGCAGTTAAGTGCTGGCTAGTGGCTAGTACATGCGTCTACAGCCAATAAAATTGTCATCCATTAGTAAACCAACTTTGTTGCTGTGACGTCAATAAACTTAGGAGTAATGAACATGAATTAGCAAAAGCTATAATGATTGGACTTCAGCAAAGCCTTAAGCTGAAGTCGAAGTTGTTAAGCTTACTTGATATTTTACCCCCAAGCTCATCATCCCTATGCAACTCTCTCTTTGAAGGTTACTTAAATCAAGCCCAAGTTTAAAATGGAATCCAGATTAATTGCAGCCACCCTTCTGCTCTGCTGCTTTGGCTACGCCTGTGCAGGAAACATGCGTGAGTAAACTAAACTGGCTGTATAAACTTCACATACTTACCAGATTTTACACGTTATCTCTTCTTTATTTAGCTGACTATATCAAGATTTGTCATCGCAACGATCCCGAGCTTTCCAAGTGCGTGAAGCAGAGTGTGCACAATTTGCGTCCATACTTGGGTAAGGGCATCAAGGAGATCAATGTGCCCGCTTTGGAGCCACTCTACATTGGTGATCTGAACATACTCGAGGGCGGCAGCAGCGGCATTACAGTCAAGGCCAAAAAATTGAACATCTATGGTGCGTCAAACTTTGAGATAACCAAAATGCGCGCCTCCACACAGAACAGACGCTTTGATTTCGAGCTGCTTTTACCGCTGCTGCAGGGCGAGGGCCAATATGATATTAATGGCAATATATTAGCACTGCCCATCAAAGGCAATGGGCCCTTTGTCGGTAACTTCACCAATTTTGTGGCTTATGTGCGCATCACATACGACGTTAGGAACGTCAACGACATTGACTACTTTGAGGTGAAGGAATTTGCTTTGAAGATACGCACTGGTAAAGGGCGTCTGCGTCTGGAGAATCTCTTCAATGGCGACAAGGTGTTGGGCGATGTTATAAATCAGACGATCAATGAGAATTTTGAGCTCTTCACGAATGAGGTGATAGCACCTATAGCTCGCGCACTAGAGGTTAAGTTCCTGGCGATTGCCACCAAAATCCTGGAGAATTTTACCTACAATGAACTGTTTCCAGTTTAATTAAATTATATACTTAATGTTCTATATGCTATTGCTTGTGATACATTTAATTTCTCTATATTAGTTCTAATATAATTCATAAATAAACTTTAATGGAACACAAAACGATTTCTTCTCAATTTGACACTTTGAAATAATATATATACACTGCCATTGTCTGGCTGAACTACTTACCTTTATCACACGTTATTATTTTGCAGTTAAAATTGATGTTTTCACGCAAAATTTAAATTTGTCCATTACTTTTTGCGCGTTTTCTTCTTTTGCCGCAACATTTTTGTCTGCATTTCGTTTTGTTTTCATATTCAGGGAAATGTTATAAAGGAAATAATAGCAGTGTGCATAACATTTGTATTGACGGGACTGTTATTAACAGCAAGTTAGAAAAAAAATTTTCTAGAAAAAAATCATCGAAATAAAAATTAATGGAAATTTGTATAAAATATAAAATATAAAGGTTTTAATTAACAACACCTATATACAGTTAATTCGCCAAATTGCTATTAAGATATAATTTCATATTTTAAGGGGAAAACAGACTGCTTGAATAAAGTTAACTGAGAATTGTGGAGTCACTGTTAATTAAAGGAGTGCGGCTGCTAAGTGGACAGTCTGTTGTGTTATCGTAACGCGATAGCGTTAAGTTGGCAGCCCGTTAAGATATCGAGTATCGAGCATTATATCGTTGGGTATGTGCGAAGTATCGATACATTTTCTTACGCTGCTCAGTGCCCTCAATTAAAAATAAAATTACAAAATTTCACTGTTTCTGTTTATAAAAAATCGCATTGCGTAAACGTTATAGTTTACATTTAACACAAGTGGTAGTAACGTTGTAGAACATGTCAACACCCGCACGCAGACGTCTTATGAGAGATTTTAAAAGGTAAGAAAAGTACACACACTTCGACAATTGTCGTGGTATGAAATGGAGAAACGGGGCGACATATATATGTATGTACATACACATACGTTGTATGTATATATACCCGTGGAAAAGTTTGCGCAGCTAAAATACAAATCGTATATGTGTGTATGTGACCTGCGTACCAGTTTGGTGTGTGTGTGTATGTTTGTACGTTGCCTTTTTTTCGCTGCTTTTTATTTGGTGATACTACTACAGCAACAACAAAAAGAGTGCTGCTTATGCTGCCTGCGTCTTTGACACTTGACTTTGAAGCATAGCACAAAACGAAATCACAAGTAAACCAAATCTGCGCAAAAAGAGCAAAAAACAATCGCAAAGCGTAATGTACAAAAATTCTTTTTCCGTTTGTGCAATTGCGTCGCAGACAAAACATCAAATAGCAGCTGCAAGAACAATAAAAACACCGAAAATTGCCAAACAGAGCAGAAAGAACGAGAGCAGCAATAATCAAATTGTTGCTCTTCTTCGGCCCGCTTGCCTTAAAACAAAAGTCATCATCCTGATTTCCTCTACTGCCATATTTCGTCACTCACAACCTTGTTGACTCATACTCTGCAGCAGAGCAGCGCAGGCGGGCAGAGCAGCACAGCGTCTTATTGGAATTTCATTCAGCGTTGTGTTTGTTCTTGTTGTTGTTATATTGTGTCATTCAATTTCGTTGGTTGGTTAAATTTTTGCAAATTTTACCTGCCAATTTATAAAGTGATTGCATAAAGAGCTTAACGGGTGGGTAGGAGTGCAGAGATTTAAGGGTTTCTCCTCCTTAGAGTAAATGTCAAGGCTACGTCAAGGCAGCAGGAATTAAGACCCCACATGGTAGAGATGCGCGCGTGAGGGACTTTTTTTCGTACGACACTAGCACGCACGACTTGTTTGAATTTTTAAATTATATATATATTATATATCAAAATGCGTTGAAAAACAATGATCTAATAATCATGTTGATATTTAAAATAAGATAATTAATGAAATATTTAACAATTTTAGAAAAATTCCTTATGTGTAATTAAACTATTCATACACAAACCATTATTCGTTAAAAAATATATCCAAACGCGTCCATCTCTACTGCCCAGCACCACCCACCGCAATATCCGTATATTTATCATTCTTCATTGGTTATCGCTTTAGCTAGTTTCTTTGTTTATTTTTTTTTTCATATTATATTTTGTATTTGTTGTTGTTGTTTAATCGATGATTTCATTTTGGAGCTCTGTCATATGTATTGATTTAGCCGATTAAAGGGCGCGGTTGGTCGATGCTGCTTTTGCTGCTGCTGCTGCTGCTTTCTCTTCTTCTTCTACAGCGTGTGGCTGTTGCACATACTTACAACATGTGTGTCGGTGTATGCTTGACCTAAATAGTGTCTAGTGTCTGCTGCGATGCCCCTGGGAACCAGTGCATAGCGTGTGGGGACTCGAAACTTGCCAATTGGCTGTTGATCTGGTTTAAGAAATGCAATTTTCTTGGTAATTTCAACAATTTGCGCAATGCTCTTTTGTCTGCTTTTCCAAATACATAAAAATCAAATTTGATTTTTTGTATTTATTAGCGCATGGCGCTCATTGAACTCGTCAACGGTAATTGTAAACAGTCGCCGCAGTCAAGAGGAAATATCTTAAAAACATGACTCGACACTTCTTGCATGAGTAGCTACGCAGATACTATATATATATATATACATATATATATTAGATATTTAGTCAGCGATATGCATATATGATTGTACATTGCTTTGTTGCCTGTTTTGTTTTGCTTTGCTTTGCAAAAGGATTTGCGATATCGAGCATCAAATACCTAAGCACAGTCATAAAAAATAATCAATTTTAAAGCATAAACCATCACGTATCTGTTGACTTTGGTTAAGACTAATATTCTGGAGTAGGCATCAGAATGTATTAACTATACTACTGTCTCTAGTACCGAGAAATGCCCACAATATGGTATTTCGTTATTAATTTGATAAGCAATATGTCGAAAATCGTCTCTCACCTATTTCGCCCACTTTTCATATGTGAAAAAAGAAAAGCCTCTAAAGGAGGCTATGTGCTAAAGGGTCCTGATTCGGACGACACTGATTCCCATATATGTATATGCCCGTAGAAAAAGAACCCGATCTTAACCAAGGTTCATTAAAATGTAATTATGTTTTTGAACAGAAGTTCATTTAGAAAGTGAGACGAGAGAAAAGATCTGACAGATCAAACGTATATATACTTACCGGAGTCGACATAGGAATATTTTATATTTATCCCATGGAATATACCACTAACTTGTTAAATATTATACGCTTGCAGACTTCAGGAGGACCCACCAACGGGTGTTTCGGGTGCGCCAACAGATAATAATATTATGATATGGAATGCTGTGATTTTTGGTCCACACGATACACCGTTCGAGGATGGTACCTTTAAGTTAACCATAGAATTTACGGAAGAATATCCAAATAAACCGCCAACAGTTCGATTCGTATCGAAAGTATTTCATCCAAATGTTTATGCAGATGGTGGCATATGCTTGGATATATTGCAGAATCGCTGGAGCCCCACATATGATGTGTCAGCTATATTAACATCTATACAGGTGGGTAATCATGCCCTTAATTTCTACGCCTACGGATTTTACTAATTCACATCTGATTTTCTAGTCACTGCTGAGCGATCCCAATCCCAATTCACCGGCTAACTCTACCGCCGCCCAGCTTTACAAAGAGAATCGTCGCGAGTATGAGAAGCGTGTGAAAGCCTGCGTGGAGCAAAGTTTCATCGATTAGCCATGCGCCCACTTCAACACCAACAACAAAAACAACAACTGCAACAACAGAAGCAACAGCAGCAGCGACTTGCAGCTACAAACTTCAACAACAACAACAAAAACAGCATGCAATAATATAAACAAGTTTAAATTAAATAATATCAGATATATTTATAATAGTTATAACGCTATAAAATTGTAACAGCGCCTAAAGCCAACACACACACAAACACACGCACACACTCATACACACGTAAACACACATTTATATATATATATATAGACCCGCAAAACAGGGCGGTTTATATTTTCGGCAAAATGTTTTAATTGTAGACAGACACACACACGACAACAAAGATCAACATTAACAAGAACAGCAACAGCAACAACCCACTGAAGCAGCAACAAAAAACAAATTAATTAAGCCGCAACAACTTCAGATATTTAAATATCTCCTCAGCCTCTCATAAGCTAACAATAATAATAGTAATAATAACATCAACAATTTAATGTTATAATTCAAATAGCAGCAGAAAACGTTATTAAGAATAATAATAAAAAAAAATTATAAAAACAAAAACAAACTATTTAAACAATTGCCTAAATTACTTAATTTCTTAGTTTAAATGTCGCCAGTAAAACCTATGCTATCAACAAATTAACTCAACAAAAAAAAGAAAAACAGAATTTTCAGAACATAATCCTTTTGATGTATGTATATGATAAGATATCGAGGAGATAAAAGAAAACCGAACAATAGAATCAGAAATGCGTATTTCAATTAAAATTGCCTTGATTTAAGTGAGAAACAAAGATGATATAACTAATAGCAATATAATCAGCTAATTTAATTCGCAAGCTGCCTAGTGGAACATTGCATTAAAGAACTATTCGCCAGTGAGCGTTATGCAAATCTTAATATGTAATATGATGATTATTCGCACAAGCTACCTAAATTGGTTAATAAGTTATTGGCATGAACAAGAAACAAAACAAAGTTGTGAAATTTACCGAGTACTAAACTAAAATTACAATTAAAATTGAATGTTAGTTGTTAGCATGCAAATTAAATAAACAAAAAAAACTTTAAGATCGGATATATAGATGATATGCTAAACAGTGACAACGCCATCAATGTAGTTTCTTCAAACTATATCTTCTTATGCGTAAAAAACTGCGGCCTCTGTCCAGTGACCAAAACAAAACAAAACTAACCTATGTGTAAATCCACGTGTTGTTAATCTATTTCGATTAAGTTTGTATGCTTCGAATAGGGCCCATTTCGATGGGTGTCCATTTAAGTTACAACAACCCTCACACACTCCTACAAGCACACACAAACACACCCCCCAATATGCATAGTAATTAGATTCTAAAACACCTCATAACTGCCATTTGCCACGCTAATTCGTAACACTTTGATATACTTGCTAGCGTCTGGGCCAGGGTGAATTATCCATTATTTAGTTCTAGTTTTAAGCGTATACTTACAATCGATTGTTTGATTTCAAATTGCTGTTCCTTTTGCTAAGACCCTCTATCTTGGCACTTTGTGTGTTGCACGATGACGATATATCGTATTATGATTATGATGAAGACGATGAAGATGATGCTCTGAGCATCATATAAATCTCTATATGGATAATCCCTAATAGCAGCATGTTGATTTTTCTCTTTTTTTACAATTTAAAACATACTTAAAATGTAATTGAAAATTATTGAAATTCTTTTAGAGCTCTATTAAAGAGAAACCACGAGAGAAATGAAAAATTACATGCAGCAAAATGAAGCAAATGATAACAATTTACCTTATAGATTTCAAATATCAATAAATGAGAAATATTACAAAAGAACGAATGGAAATTTTCTTTAACTAGGGAAAGTCTTACGAAGATACATAACATATGATTATAGTAGGATTGCCGAATGAAAGAAATATATTCTTAACGACCAGCTGACTCTATATAAAGAAGTTTCTTTTGTCTTTACAACAAAGGCTGACCTTTCAGACTCTATAAGTTATATACTTTGGACTTGTTCCAGAGCTGACGTCATTTTAATCAAGGCTGCAACCAAAACAAGATGTTCTAGTCGGGAGCTCCCGACTAGGGGATACCCTGAACCCTCTTCTTCCAACATCAAATGCATATATATATTCTATTTTAGAAGCTATATGTCAAGTTTGGTGACTCTAGCTCTTATTATTTACCAAAATTGCCCAAAAAACGGGATATCGATATCGATTTGTATCGATTGCTTGGAAACGGAGTAAGTTATCGATTATCGGAAACAAACTCGATCTGCGCAGGAACTAGGAGCATCTACATCTAATATTTCAATATGGGTTCTGAGATCCTTGCGTTCATACACACGGATGGACGGACATGGCTAGATCGACTCGGCTATTGATGCTGATCAAGAATATATATACTTTATGAGGTCGGAGAAGCTTCCTTCTGCCTGTTACATACATTTGGATTTTGCACAAATACAATATACCCTTATACCCATTTTTAATGGGTTCAGGGTATAATTAAATGTTGAATGGCTTCAATAACACTAGGATGATAAATTACAAGCCAAAACCTGTTTATGGATATTGGAACCCTGATTTACGAACCGAGCCTTAAGGCAGAAAGCCGGTTAGATGAAAAAACCTCCTATTTTAAAACTATATTATTCCATCTCAAACAAGTCTCTAGTCTTCCACATTTTCTATCAATTCTTTCGATTAATATGTTCTTGACAAAAACATTAAATAAAACCGCCTTTTATTTATGTGTAGTTTTTTGTTCAAATTTGTAATAATTTGTTAATTTCTATAAAATTTAATGACTTAAGCTTAATGTTTGTTTTCAAGATAATTGCATGTTTTACACACTTTTTTGACAATTGTTTGTGTAAAGTACAATAAACAAGTAAGAGGTTCTAGTCGGGAGCTCCCGACTAGGGGATACCCTGAACCCTCTTCTTCCAAAATCAAATGCATATATATATTCTATTTTAGAAGCTATATGTCAAGTTTGGTGACTCTAGCTCTTATTATTTAACAAAATTGCCCAAAAACCGGGATATCGATATCGATTTTTATCGATTTCTTGGAAATGGAGTAAGTTATCGATTATCGGAAACAAACTCAAACTGCGCGGGAACTAGGAGCATCTACATCTAAAATTTCAAGTCTCTAGCTCTTATAGGTTCTGAGATCTTTGCGTTCATACATACGGGCGGACGGACGGACAGACCGACGGACATGGCTAGATCGACTTGGCTATTGATGCTGATCAAGAATATATGGGGTCGGAGGTGCATCCTTCTCTCTGTTACATACATTTGGATTTTGCACAAATACAATATACCAGTATACCCATTTTTAATGGGTTCAGGGTATAAAAAGAGGAATACGCAGGGTCGTAAGGCAACATTTAATTACATACACAATCATTTATATATATTTATTGAATTTGTTATGAAACTAAAACAATTGCAATTTCAATTTGTTGTTAATAATTTGCATATAATAATAAGCCGCACAAAAATACAAAGTTTTTATATTTTTGGAGTATAAAAATAGGGACCAGCACAGAACAAAATGCATTTAAAAGTAAAATACGAGACGTTATTTACATGGAAATAGTGTACTTAGCAGCTAAAAAAATTTGTTGCGTAAATATACGCGGTGCATAAAGTTTAGAGTCAATTATAGAGTAGAGTTGCATATAGAGTATATATAAAAAAGGGAATTGCTTTGTGGTGTATACGTCGTATATAAAAATATAAAATATATATATAATGTAAAAATATATATATATATTATATTTATATATATATATATATAGTTGCATATAGAGTATATATAAATATATATATATATATGTATATGTATATAGAGAATACTAGAGTGGGCATTTCTAAGTGGGTTCAGCTCGACAGCAACTAGGCTGTTCCATGGAATTGCACAATTATTATATATTCTTAAGAAAGGGTATTTTATAATCGGTTATAACTGAGCTAATTGGACGCATGGCTGTGCACGTTCTTAAAGTCCTGCGTTTGGGTGGTGCTGCGCAACACTTCCAACCACCTGAATATAATGAAAAAAAGGGAAAAATGTAATGCATTAATGAAGTTGCCTTTGGCTCAGACTCGCAAACTCTCACCTGTTGTATGTGTGCGCGCTCTCCGCTCTGAAGAAGTAGACGTGATTCTTGAAGGATAATTTGAACACAAACTCCTTTTGCACTGCATCCTGATGGCCGGGCGGACCCACGGTATAGCCCAGCAGCGGGAGGCTGGCCAGCGCGAACTCATCCTGATAGCTTTTATAGAAATACAAGCAGAACGAGGTGAAGACCACCCAGAGCTTTTGCCAGCCGGAGCTGTTCTTGAATTTACGCAGCAGATAGCCGGACAGCTGATGCTCTGCCGCAATGAGATGATCGCCGAGACCAACGGTGGCGCCACGATGCCAGCAGACGTGTAGTGCGGTATTGCTGCGTGACGGTTGCGTCTTGTTCTGCTGTTGCAGTTGCAGCTGCTGCGGCGTCAATGGACCGTTGCCGCCGCCGGTGCTGCTGTTCAGGCTGTTTGTGCCGTTGCTCAGGCCGAGCATGTCCAGACCCTCCTCCGAGGAGCCTGAGCGAGATAAACAAACAGATCACTTAAAATTGAACCTATACCAGGAATGGCAGGGGCAGGGGATTAATGGGGATCTTGCTTGCTTACGAGGCTTTGCAGCGTTCTTTTCTTGCCAGTCATAATAAGTGTAAAGCAAGAGAAAATAGATAAACAAATAGAATGAAAAGGTAAAGAATGTAAAACCATTTCCGCGGCAGTAAAAGGTTAATGGATGATACTAACTGGGAATAAATATATTTATAGTGTCGAAGATGCCTTTTTGTAAAGGGTATTCTTCTCTTTTTAAACCCTTTACAGGAAGGCATTAATTTTCAGGAATATCCTTAAAATCGAGTGAAAAATAGAGTCCTATTCTGAGACAAGAGCACAAGCTAAAACCATTTGAGATACTCACTGCAATTCTTGAGCGTGGTCAGCTGCAGCTGCATGTTTGGTGGCCTGTTCTTGATATCGGCCGCCGCC